TTACTAACCCCATCCTCGATAGCCAGGGGTTACGCTCACTTTCGCTATCTGCACCCCTGGAATATGTCATAGCAAAATTGAAGGCTCAGTGTGCGCAACCTTCTTAATGAAACAAGAAGAATAGTTCGATCCTTTAATGTACATCAAAAGAATCTCGCGGTCATGTAACGGTAAAATTGCCAGGCTGTGAAGTCGGGCGTCTCTCCTTTGTAATCTTTAAATGTATCAGCCTAGCGATTGGTCAGGTTTTTTTTAACCTGAGACCAATCAAACAGCTATCTTCGTGCCTTCAATTTTGCTATGACATATTCCATGGGTGTAGAGAGCGAAAGTGAGCGCATCCTCGATATCCAGGGGTTAAGCTCACTTTCGCCCTCTACACACAAGTGATCAAGCGTCTGGTTGAACGAGACTAAACTATAGCACAGTTGGCAAGTTCGCTTCAGTTGTACAGGTCGCTCAATCTGAAATCTACGTTTCGAATCCCGGTTTAGCCCCACATTGAGGTTAACATTCAGACCGTTGTTATTTCTCATAAAAGGCCAAAAGGCCAAAAGGTGTTTTTTGTTTTGCTACAGCACATATTCAGCAACATACACCCCTATTATACTCCACCTGGGTTGTTGGAGTTGTGTGGGCAGGAGAAAAACATTTTCTCTGAATATTCCATGCGTACGACGACTTCGGGGAACCGCGCTAAACAAATCGGCACGTGTTTAATCAATCTCATGTAAAGATAACATCATTACAAGACTTGTATGATATATTTATCAGCCCATATATACAAAAACAAGCAATTAGATCAGAGTAATGTTAACGATACTTCTCTCGTCTCGTATAACGTGAGACAATACAACTATTGAATCGTTTGCATTGATGACACTGTAACTTCAGTTGCGCAATATTAGAAAGTTAATATATGTATTAAATGGATTTTTCAACATTTGCCGGAAATTGCAAATAGATTATTCCTATCCAAAATAGTGGGCTTCATACAATATTGATCAATGTGCGTTCATACTGGCGTTGCATTGACTAGCTCTGCAATACGAAGTTTAAACTATATTTGTCAATATGACGTCATAGAATTTTAGCTCACCTTGTCCGAAGGACCAAGCCAAGCTAATGTCGAACCGTGACGTAAGGAATCAAAATTGTAAAAATGGAGGGGCTACCCCCATAAACATGTGCTGCCAGGATTGGCCCTGTCGGACCTTAATTGCAAAATTCATTATGAATCTTTTGCCCTGATTTTCGAGGGATCCAGGACGATACCGGCCCTTTGTGCCTCCTGTTTATTATAGCTTTATTAATACACTGACTCTTGGACTTAGTTTTGCTACTCTCCAACAGGGCCGCGCTCTGCTGTAAAAAGACTGCCGGCAAGAAACATAATCTCTACCCAGGGTTGTCGTTTCTGTTGGTAGGCGACCCTGTTCGATAGGTAATCCTACTCTTGAAGTCTGCATCGAATGTGTTGCGTTGGTTGATTTATTCCAAAATTCAAATTTGATAAACAAAAAAAACCCGCACCATCACCATATCGTGGGAAAGGTGCGGGCAATCAAAAGTAATATCAATCGGAACTCCTCGGTCTTTTCTGCGAAAAAAACTTTTACTTTCGGTTACGGAAATGGCCGAATGGTTACGATTGAAGTAATATATTGTTTCCGGTCTTTGTAAAGCGGAAAGCAACCTGGGAGAGTAGTCGAGTACCGAAACTAAGAAACACAGTTACACCTATTTTATTCTGACTGTAGGACTTGCTGTCAGCTCAATACGGTTTGAACAAATTCTGACAAGAGCATAGGCATTTGAATAACATTATACATTAATAGTCGAGGTGAAAAAGGATACATTAATTCCAAATTAGAGTAATTAGTGTTTACAACATTAATTTGATAATTAATTATCAGAAAGTATATACAGTTCATATATTTAACTACGGGTGTATAATAAATTTGGTTCTCTATCATTATAGAGTATAGGTTGGGTTCTCCAGTGATGGTCTAGGCGAGACTCGAAAGATTTGATAGTTCTTGATAACATAATCTCTGGTGACAGGCTGTTCCAGATGTCAACAGTTCTGTGACAGACTGTTCCAGATATCAACAGTTCTGTGACAGGCTGTTCCAGATGTCGACAGTTCTGTGGCAGGCTGTTCCAGATGTCAACAGTTTTGTGACACGCTGTTCCAGATGTGAACAGATCTGTGACAGGCTGTTCCAGATGTCGACGGTTCTGTGACAGGCTGTTTCAGATGTCAACAATTCTGTGACAGGCTGTTCCAGATGTCGACAGTTCTGTGGCAGGCTGTTCCAGATGTCAACAGTTTTGTGACACGCTGTTCCAGATGTGAACAGATCTGTGACAGGCTGTTCCAGATGTCAACAGGTCTGTGACAAAATGATTTTTTTCTCATGGGTAGGCGCGTTCTTTACTTGAATAGTTTATACTCATGGCCCCTTGTAACAGTATTGTCCTTCTTTTGTCACATAAACATAAACGTGGACACTTCGGGATCATATTTGGTTCCAGATGTCGACAATTCTGTGACAGGTTGTTCTAGATGTCAACAGTTCTGTGACACGCTGTTCCCGATGTCAACAGATCTGTGACAGGCTGTTCCAGATGTCGACAGTTCTGTGGCAGGCTGTTCCAGATGTCAACAGTTCTGGGACAGACTGTTCCAGAGATCAACAGTTCTGTGACAGGCTGTTCCAAATGTCAACAGTTCTGTGACAGGCTGTTTCAGATGTCAACAATTCTGTGACAGGCTGTTCCAGATGTCAACAATTCTGTGACAGGCTGTTCCAGATGTTCACAGTTCTGTGACAAAATGATTTTTTTCTCATGGGTAGGCGCGTTCTTTACTTGAATAGTTTATACTCATGGCCCCTTGTAACAGTATTGTCCTTCTTTTGTCACATAAACATAAACGTGGACACTTCGGGATCATATTTGGTTCCAGATGTCGACAATTCTGTGACAGGTTGTTCTAGATGTCAACAGTTCTGTGACACGCTGTTCCCGATGTCAACAGATCTGTGACAGGCTGTTCCAGATGTCGACAGTTCTGTGACACGCGGTTCCAGATGTCAACAGTTCTGTGACCCGCTGTTCCAGATGTCAACAGATCTGTGACACGCTGTTCCAGATGTCAACAGCTCTGTGACAGGCTGTTCCAGATGTCGACAGTTCTGTGGCAGGCTGTTCCAGATGTCAACAGTTCTGTGACAAAATGATTTTTTTCTCACGTGTAGGCGCGTTCTATCCTTGAATAGTTTATACTCATGACCCATTGTAACAGTATTGTCCTTCTTTTGTGACATAAACATAAACGTGGACACTTCGGGATCATATTTGCCTGTCATTATTTAAAAAAAGTTCAATCATGTCCCCCCCTAGGGTTAGGGTAAGGGTTAGGGTTAGTGTGACGCGTCTGTAAGCCAATGTTGGAAGCTGCAATACCTCAAGTCTTTCTGGGTAGGACATGTCTGTTATTCCCGGTGTCAATCTCGTTGCTCTTCTCTTGACGTTTTCAATGGCTTCTATTTGTTGTATCAGGTGCGGGCTCCAAACTTGGTTGGCTTATTCAAGATGAGGTCTAACGAGTCCCTTGTACAGAGCCTTGAATGTATTATGATCCATATATTCCATTGTTCTCCTAATTACACCCCTAATTGAGTTCGCTTTATTGATTTTTTCCAGATATGTACATCAAATGACAGTTTGTTACCAATTGCTACATCCATATATTTTTCGTTTGCGGTAAACGGAAGTTCCTTACCATCTTCTAGGTTGTACGTGAAGGTAATGCTATCGGTTTTTCCTATTCTCATGGCTTTGCATTTGTCCGGGTCGAAGTGAAGTAGCCACTAGTTATTCCGTGCCTGGGCCTTTAGCAAATCTTCCTGTAGAGCCTTGCAGTCCTGGTTGTTCGATATTGCCCGGTAAAACTGTGTAGTGACAGCGAATAGGTATGTTCTTGTTTTGATGCTTGTTATTTCCGGTAGGTCATTAATATAAAGCACAAACAGGATTGGCCCAAGATCAGAATGGAATGCCACTACTGACGTCTTTCCAAACTGACGTTTCTCCATGGACCGTTTTCAATTGTTTCCGGTTGTGAAGGAAAGCATTGATCCACCTGGTAATGTGTCCCGTGAATCCATACATACTCGTTTTATGGACGATCCTGTTGATATAGAAGTATTATATATGATTGATAACGGTTGACTTATAACGGAACTTATTTTTTTTCAATACACGCGGGTGAATATCATCTGGGCCTGGGAATTTCGACGTTTTAAGCTTTTCCAGGGTTTTAAAGAAAACGCTAGGATCTATTACTACATTTCCAATCATATTATCTGTAATACGCGTACGGTCCACACTGGGCATGTTGTCCTCTGATTCTTCTGTAAATACGGAAGTGAAGAACTCTGCGAGCACCTCTGCCTTTTCTGTATCACTTTTGGTGACTTGGTCCTCGTGATACATCAGTTCTTGTTTTGGTTTTAGACTGACCATAATTCCAGAAGTTTTTGGGATTTGTTTTCGCTTCTTGTGCGATTTTCTTTACGCGTGTCTTTTTTGCTTACCTGGATAACCTCCTTACCTGGTTTCTTACTTGGCAATATTCGTGGTACGTTTCATCGCTCCCTGTATTTAGAAATCTTGTCCATAGACGCTGTTCCTGCTTAATTTTAGTAAGTGTTGCTTTGGCCAGTGGTACCACATGGCGTTTCTTTTGTTGAACTGTGCTTGACCTCCGTACTGGGCTACAACTATCGATGGCGTTCTGAAGCTTACTTCTAGAATGTGTCCATTGCGAATTTGCGTCGTCGCCTTTGAATGTCGTACATATATCTGGTTTTGTTCCCTTTCCTGTTGTAGGGACCAAGGATAACCAGTCTTAAACCGTTATTGACAATACCTCGCTAAAACAGAATTCTTACAATATTAAAGTTTATAATGTATGTTATTTTGTGTTGTAGGACGTTTTACTGGCCACAGTATGACAGGGACCAGCAGTGGAGGGGTGTGTTCTGGTAAAGGAGTGTACATCAAGCTTAGCGTACTACTACTGCTGAGCACGACCATCTACGTGTATCTGTACTCAAGCATCACAATGCAGACGTTCGTTATCGGGGAAGTCATGAAGGGCACGATCAGTGATATTCAGAGATGGCGGGATAAAATGGAAGGCTGGGTACAGATGATTGGTGGTAGCGGTTCTCAATCTAATAATAAAGACGCCAAAAATACGTCATTTCCGGACGATAATCGTGATGTCATGAAAATTAAAGTTCAGAAATCAAAACCTGATATTGGTTCAGTAATAAAAGCGACAAACGAGTCCAAGTTATTGTTTGTGCCACACGAGAAAACCCGTACACCTATCCATGATTCCAAAAGCAAAGGTGCAGGTCATAAACCGGAAGTGCTTCTGACCTTGTTTACTTCCTGGCCTACAAAAGCAGAGAAATATTTGTGCCACAACAATACAATTCGTAATTGGCTACAATTAAAACCGTTAATACATCCGGTTCTCTTCACAAACGAGACTTTACTAGCCGAGGAAGCAATGGAGAAAGGTTGGGATGTACTTCCGATCCGAAGAGCCGGAAGAGGGGTACCTATTCTCAAACATATGTATAAAGATGTCATAGGGAGATACAGCTCTTCGTTTTATGCCTTTTCTAATGGAGATATACTCTACTCTAACTCACTTATTGACACGTTAAAGGCTGTTCTTAATTCCTCTCAAGTATCGAAGGGCAAACCAATCATGATTGTTGGTAGAAGAACTAATGTTCAGGATGTGACGTCAGAGGAAGCGAGTTCGGGGAAAAGTGTACAAAGGACAGCAAATATTCGCGGGAAAATATTTACAGTGTGGGCCGAAGATTATTTTATAACGTCGACTAATTATCCGTGGAAGGATATACCGGAAGTAGTAATTGGCCGGAGGGCGTATGATAACTGGTTGGTATCGAACGCACGAAAACAAAAACATGTAACCATCGACGCCACTGATACTCTAGTGGCCCTCCACCAAACGACAAAGGCGGGAAACCAGGAAGGATTCAAGGCCGACAACCCAGAGTACAACCACAACCTTCTCAGGCGCATGTACCACCAGCTTCATTACGGTGCCGGCCTCACGTCATGCGCAGAATACTACACACGTTACCATGGCAACAAAAATATACAAATTCTAAAAAGAGCGATCCCAAAGTCGTGTTTCCCTGTATGATAACAAAGTGATTGTAGTGTATTGGTTTCCAGCGTGTAATGATGTGGGTCCCCTCCCGGTGTTGTTCACAGAAAGGTGGGAAAGGAGAGAAAGACTGGTTCTCTGTCTTTACCACGGTGCTCTCCGCCAGGGTAGCACTTGTTTGCAACTTGCAAAACAGGTGAATATGCAAAATAAAAGCATCCTTGATGAGGTAACAAACAACATATTCGATATATAGATACCATGGATGATCGGGTTCCGTTAACTTCTGTCACTAACTAAATACATTTACATAAAATAATTTAGGTATTTTTCCAGTGTAAAAATTAATACCAACTGAAACAAAAAAAACAAAAAAACAAGAGCTAGAAATATCAGAAATAGATTTAGTTTAAGTATGGTTTCATTATGAGAGAAATTGCATTAAGTGACGTCGAGTTTGATTTGTGCTGAAATTGTAAATGTATGTCTCTGGCTGAACACATTACAAGTTCAAGTTCAAGTTCTTTATTAACTTTGAGTCTTGCGACTCATCAGTGTAACACATATACATGATATATATATATATATATATACTTTCTCATAACATTGACAAATATCGAAAATACTAATAAATACACAGACGAGACAAAACACTCGGAGGGCATAACTACTTATGTTATTACAGAGTACGTAGAGGCAAGGTAATTGTTGACAACCCTTGGGTTTGAAAATAGATTTTTTTTATATCACATAGGAATTTACTAGGTAAGTGCCGCTTGAGATGGAGTAACAAATGTAGATTTTTGACTTTTGAACCAAACTTTTGAAAAGTAAATCTGTTTTGGTTGTTTTTGAGTTTTGCTCCCTTTGCCGTGGGAAATGTTAGTAATAAAACTGCAGTATGATGCCGTACACTCTTAAACACACAGGAAGAAATGATAGACATTCTCTTTCAATATGCTATTCTATCTTGGTGTTCCTATTGGTATATTTTAAAGCGGTATTGGGTAATTACAGAACCTCCTTGAGTTTTGTCAGAATGCTGTGGGTGTATTTTTGTAAAAAAAAAGGTCGAGTTGTCATGTTTCACTGATGTCCCGGGATCGATTTCACAACTTTTCGACGAAATCGCTCTATAAATTTAAAACCACAAAAAGGTGTTCTTGTTTTTAGATCACTTGGCCCGAGGGCGTACAGGCCCTATCGGCAATTTGTTATGAAGATTTGTTATTGTATAAAGTACCTGCTGTCAAAAAAAATATTGTTCGTGTAAATACACATGAAAACTGACAATCCCAAGAGACCTAAACATGTTCATCTCGACCGGAGCTGGGCGAGGCTAACTAATTACAGATCCGGCATGTTTGTCCGTGTTACTGTGAAATGCGGATGTAAAGGTTGTTGGTACAATGTTGTTTATTTTCATTATCTTTTTTAAAACACAATTAAGATTATATTTAGTATCGTCTACAGGGTACCGTGTGTATTATACATAGACAAGCGTTGTTGATCGGGGTTGTGTGTCCTACATTGAAATACGTCCCTGATACAGTACGATGTATTTATAGTGTCTAGCAGTTGTACGTGGCTTTTGATAACTTACAAAATGTTTTCTTACAGACATATTAAAAACGTTTTTTTTTTTTTTAATTTTAATTGTCAAATTGTTTTCCCGATTTATTATGGTGTTCAGCATTGATACATAGTTTTACTGGCAGTTGACGTGTCAATAATGTCATAATATATTTGTACACCAGAGGAGTCTCGTTTTGGTGTGAATATCGACTTTTTTATTTTTTATATCGCCTATTAAAACTAGTTGTTGTCACGTATTCCAATAATGATATCTCTCATTCGACCGTGATATTTAAAACGGACATATCACAATTTGTTATAGAAGTAATCACAAAACGGCATCAAGGTTACATGTTGTCAATCTCAGTTAAAAAAATACGAACTTAGGAACGCTGTACACTTCATTTCAAATTCACCGATTTAAAACTAATAATTTTGAACATGTTAATTATGACTTTTATTTTCCTTGAAGGTTTGATGTTTCCATGTATTTTTAAAGTGAAAAAAACCCTAACATAAATCTACATAATAATTATTTTATTTTTGGACAAGTGTGTCAAATTGTTATGCTTCATTTTCTACTCAGGTTAGACTTTGAAACCACATTTTTTTCGGTTTTCTTTTGATTACATGTTTTCAGATTTTGCGAGAGGAAATCAAATACAGTTTGATATTGCATTTGTAATCTGTTATAGTATTTTGTTGTGATATTACTGTATTGAAATGTCAGCTTACACTACATCGCTGTAAGATTGTCCTCCACTGATGGGCTGTATTTTTACATTATTTGTATAAGCTCTAATCCAGCCGGTGAATGTAAGGAATAGTGTATTTAAGTTCATCACTAGTACTGTCGATGCTGGACAGGGCCCTTCACATGGCCTCAAATACATTGTACTATAAGCTAAATGACTAAATGTATGTGTGGGTGAGATTATGTGTATGTGTGTGTGTGCGCGGTCGTGTGTGTTTGTACATACATGTGTGTGTATGTATATTTGTGTGTATGCAAGCAAGCATGACTAATTGTTTCTAACTGGTCAATGCGTATTCCTTTGCTTCGCCCGTCCTCTCTGTCATCATCTCGTTATTCAATCATAGTGATATACATTGTATATTATATATTGTATATTATATATGTATAGTTAGCCTTCTTATGCTGTATATATTCGCTTGATCAAATTATAAGGGAACTTTTGCCCAATCCTTTTACTTTTACTGTAATACGGTAATACAAAATGTTTAAACTAAAACAGGCTTCGATATTAGCGACAAACTATATAGAATTTTACAAGTTATTGAAAAAAACGTGTTGATTTATATGTAATTATTGAATCCTGCTTCGGCCGATTTCATGAGTTGATGAATTTATTTGGTCTTGAGAAAAAAATAATAAACTGCAAAGCTGTTCATGTTGAATTCGTCTCAAAACAAACCTCCATTCATCACCCAAGGCAATATATGTTGAATTTGTCTCACGATCAACTCAATGCATCACCCAATGAAATCCACCAAAGCTGAATTCAATCTTTACGATACTCTTGAATACCACAACTGTGTTCTACCACAACAAGCCTATCGGGTATTTTCTAGCATTGCCATTTAGGTAATACGGATCAAGTAAATCCACTTTTAGTCACTGTAAAAACAGTAATATTTTTATGTTTAGTTATATACATATTTCTTTGTTATTCGATAAAATCAAAATACATGTAGGTTGATGATATTATGAAGATGATTTTAGACTGGATAACCTGCCTTAGTACCATTTCTCTCCGCTAGGTAGCGCTCTTTGATACTGATCCTTATCGAATGATGGTGCTGATTGATCAATTCAAACATCGATCTAGATATACGTCGGTTTGGTTTGAGCTTCGGAATTCTCTCTTATTTGTACTAGAAACGTTTTAAATGCTTACTCGGTGTTGATTAAGAAACATTCAATCAGCATGGCTTTAGAATACTATCGAAAATTATTGTCAAGTAACGGACACGTCGTTCGCCTTTTTGAAACAGAGCATTCTCCTAGATAAAAGTGATCGTAAGTACAGAATTCAGACGGTTTTCCCGCGAAATTGCCAAACGCCATCTTTGAAAGGGATGTCCCTGTTGGAGACTTAAATATCAGCAAATCAAAATGTCAGGGTTTTTTTCCGAAACGAAGTCTTGCGGAGAGTAGGAAAACTACGACACACTATCCAATCTAAAAATAGTATTTGATAAATCAAAATGACCGGATGTTATCATTTATTTATTTGAAAACATCAGATGATTGTGACGTATATATATATAGAGTAAGGTAACGGCCCACTTTGAACAGGAAGTGGGGGCCATTGTACAATTATGTATTTCTATCGCTGATTCCTGACAGATGCAGCCATTTATAAGGAGACTCCGAACAGAAACAGGTAAGTCTTTAACACGACACCGACGGGCCTTTTAACATGCTGGTGGTGTACTTACTGAAAATAAACACTGTCTTTGTAATATTATTGTCATTGTTTTTTGGTATGGCGGAGCGTATACAATTGGGCGGCATCTTGTCCGTACGTCTGTCCACCAATGCTAGAAATTTGGCCGACTATGTTACAAAAACAATTGTGACATATAATTATGTATTGCATGTGACCTTTGTCCAAAATGTGTGACCCTGATGTCTAAATGTTAAAAGACACTTGAATTTCATATAACTCTTACATGGATATCTCAACTCATCCCTGGGAATGCCACTAACGTAATTTTCTTGAAAATGGGATGAAGGGACAAAAAATGTCTATATTTAAAATAGCACGATAACTTCTTTGATAACAAAACACCTTAATTTGTTGTTTCCAACAATTGCTTTTTTGTGACATCACCTCAAACGAAACAAATCATGCAACCAAAACTGTGACATAAAGTGCCAATAACGCCAATTTCGGGAACACTACCGCCTTTGTTTGTCAGCAGGTTAATTATATAATGACTTAACTTTACACACGCAAATTTCATTTAACTTTACTGAAATGTTTCTGACGTCCGTACGTGTCTCAACACCACTTGAAAGTCAATATTATACTTTCAAGATTATCAAAGATCACAGCTAGAGATACTTTACACGATGCAGGGAAAATTGGAAGTTTATCCTGTCCTTTGGCACCTCGTTTAAATATCCAACCAAATCTAATGACGCTTCACACAAATATTCCAGACACTCATGAATCTCTTGAGACTAGTGGAAAGGCAAAGTCATACGTTCAATTTTAAGGTCATTGCTACAGAATATATATATTCGGGTTGGAAAATTGGCTTGTCCACGCATTTCTGACAAACGTTTCAAGCCAATTTCTATAAAAAAAAAAACGAAATCCGTAACATTGCCTTCCCGAACTGTTTATGTACACATACACATACAGGCTCAGTGACCATCACCATTACATTAGATTATGTAGACACTATCGATCTGACCCCCACAATAATCTATCGGCAGGCGTTTAATGTATACCGCTTGTTGTGCTCTTGTTATTATCTCGACAGACACGAAGTATATGTGCGCTAAATGGTATGAAGAGTTGTCTTTAGCCGTTCTTCGTCTTTCCGAAGGACTTCACAGCACAGGTCGTACTTGGTCAATTACAAATGAACTTAAACCACATTTGCTATTCCGCATTCTTGCGGCCAAGCAGGGAAGAAAGAAAGAATGGTTTGCATTTTAATATTAAAAAGTTTTAGTCTTCCAAGAGAACTGCGTGGATGGTTAACATATTTCGTTTGAAACATAACTGGAGCAAAGACGATATTATTTTGCATACATGGTGTTGTCGAGGCCACCTGAGCCAGAGGAGTGTGGCATAAAACAGGTCCAAAAAAGGAAAAAATCTGAGCGTCAAAAACCTACACATCCTGAAAATGACTGAACATATAGTATATCTGGTCTGAAACATCACTTGAGCAAGGCGATATGAAGTGTAAAGGAAGTTAATGCAAACCCTATGGAACAAAATTGGGGGTATGCAAAGTCGACTATATCGATACTACCAGGATAAGCCCCTGAGTATGACCCCGCCCCTATAGACTTAGTCCTTGGATCGTAAAATGAAAACACATTCAGACTCTCATCCCATGTATTTGCTAATCATAGAGAAACGCACACTTTAATGCTACCAGAATTGTCCTTGACGTACAGTCCCGCCCCTGTGGACTTATTCCATTAGTCATAACATAAAATTGGTTTACATCTTCACTCTATAATCGTTCATACGATGATTTCTATATATAGAAAGAACTCGTGTAAAACCATGTACGGATATCACCAAAATTTGCTATGAATCACCCTTGGTCTTGAGGACCTAGATATCATTTTTGTAATAAAGTAATGGCGTACATGTAGCTCAGTTGAGTAAGGAGAATCAAGGCCCAAAAGAGGGAAATTAGGGCGTTTATACTACCCCTCCTGACCAGTTGATCATATTTCAACAAATTTTATGAAGCACCCTTAGTACCGAGAATCAAATATTATATGAAAAAAGTGTTGTTCTTCATGGGGCTAAGGGACCAAAACTGGGAGCAATACTTGCTTGATGAAAATATTTTGCAATTATTGCTTAAATTCATGGATGAATGATACCGACCCCCGGTACTTTAAATGGGTTCTCCGCAAGAACTGGAAGTCATAGATTCATGATATTCTGGGACCTTGAATATAGTTTTATAGAGTTCAATCATCATAATGAACGAACTTTACTAATGTCAAGGGTCAAATTTGTTGAAATCTTCAAACAACAATATCTAAATAAAAACATGCATCTAAAGCGATGAGGTACCTATATATTATGAAGACTGACAGTGCTAGATCTAATATAACTTTCTTTATGGTGTTCAGGCCAAATATCAGCTTTAAACGATTATATTAAAAGAGCTATGGCGGGTTGATCTGCCTATTTCCCCAAAGTTGTGTCCGCGAGTTCGCGCGTGCCACCGTGTACGGTCATGACGCGTCCTCATGTATCTATCGGAATCCTGTGTCTAATAATAGATTATTGTAAACAGCCGAATTCAAGGCCATGGCTATTGATTTCGCATTATTTTTATGAATTTGAAACAAATGATATGCTGTATGTAACACAAGATTGTACAATCATTACCAACAAGATTTTGAAAGGATTTAATTTCCATTAATACTTCCTGCGTCATGCCGTTACATGCTTTCTTACAAAAATACACATCTTGATTTTGTTTTTCCTGCACAAATGAATGGCAAAAATGATATACATCATTTTCGAAAAGCATTTCTTACACGTGTATTGCGATCCTTACTTTCAATTTGTCCTACAGTCTTCCTGCATTTCAAACAAATGAGACTGTCCGCAACGATGAATTTCACCGTATTTTCGGTATTTATTTGCGATAATAACAGTTCATTTTTATTGGGTTGGACTTTTTTATTCTGACGCAACAATCCCACATTTATTTGGTATTTTAGCATCATTTGTTGGGTTAAATTAGATAGATAAAATCACTCGTGTCAATTGGAGGGAAAATCAATTCATAAATATTATTTAAATGATGTCTTATCTACAAAGCGTAGCTGTACTGTACACGTGTATAGTGAGTTGTTTACATGATTGCATAGAAGATAAATCAATAGGTATATTATTAAAATCAAATCAAATGTTTCATTGGTTTGAAAAATAATGTATAACTTAATTAAGGAAAAAGATCTCATGCCTAAGTATTTAAAAAAAACACCTAAACGTGGATTCGAACTTGCACCGTCCATTTCGTCTGGTCACAAGTCAATTGCGTTACATATTCGGCTACATCGGACATAGACGAAGATTTGAATACAAACTGTTTTAACCCAAGAAACACCTGTCGCAGTTTAAGAAATTCGCTCACCACTGTTTTTCATTATTTTGAGCACTTAACCCAAAGGAGGACCACTTTTCCGGAATACGATTTGTTTCCTCATATTACATCACGGAATTAAATAATTAATTCAGAAGTTGGTCCTCGGATGGGAAAGTGTTGATACCGTTTTTTTTAAGTCTGGGAAACCCCATCACTTTCATAGATATTGTGAATATATCAGCAGTTCAAAAATTCATATATAATTGGTTTTATATCTATTCTATGGATTTTCGCTGCTAGAAATTATTTATTCATTAATATTTTTTTCCGTTTTCATAAATGCCGACTAAGGGAAATATGGGCAGATTTCCGCCATAGCTCTTTCAACACATTACATGTTCATTTAAGATTCAAGAAACACTACGTTAGTGCAGCTATAAACAAAGGTATAAAAATTAGCAACAACGATTGATTTAACAGCATGCTAGATACAGAAAGTAAATCACTACGTGTATATATATAAAAGCACAAAACTAAATTTACACAGAAAACTACAGTACTATGGCATAGGACAAAACCATTTAAGACGTCATTCTATTTATCTGTTACCCAGATTGCATTCATATTGGCTGTAACCGCAATGAATCTGACAGACGTTCAATCCTTAATTATTTCTAGATAAAAGACATTTGAGGACATTTCTCTTTCCGTTTTCTTTCTTTAGCTTGTTACCGAAGCTAGAAAGTATTTGTTCAAAAAGAGACCGAATCAAGTCGTTCCGGCCTCTCCCGGTCCGGCCCCCTATTAGTTGCGGCCCCTACCCGGTCCGTCCTTAGTAAGTCCCGCCCCAAAGTCGTTCCGGCCTAACTGTAGTGTTTTCCTTCACATATTACCATTGAATTATGTTTTATCCGTGGATCGTTTGTATACATATATTTGTATGTAACATTTTTACATTTTGCAAGTTGTGTTTATTGTACAAGTGTACGGGTTGTCGCCCTTAATCCGGACAATTTTTAGTGAATATATACAACCGTCTCTACGTTCAACTCCGTAAGAAAAGAAATATGAACCATTACGTTCATTATGTAATATTTAATGCAATCAACATAATTTATATTTAATAGCAAATAAGTTAACAGCTTACAGTATTTTTAATAATTACGAACTTTGTTTAGAAAAGTACTTACTAGAACTCCCTCCGATACTAGCCAAAGCCAGGGATGTGGTGGTACACATCTCTGCCAAAGCGTATTGTAAATTCAGAACATGTAATACTAAGTTACCAAGTGTTAGGTGCAATATACCACGTGAAAATAGATTATGTAATTTATTATATTAAGAGAAATTGGCGACAATTCCATTATCTGTACACACCAACCTATACTCAATAGTAGACGAAAACATATGTCCACAAAGTATTATGAAAGACCAAACACTAACTTACATATATTATTCAATTATGTAACACAAAATATATTTAACAATTATAACTAATATGTACGTAATGATGATATAGATATGACAATTATAACTAATATATACGTAGTGATGAAATTGATCTAACAATCATAATCCATATATAAGTAATGATAAAATATATCTTATAAATATAACTAATGTGTACGCAATGATGAAATATAGCTAACAGTTATAACGTAAGTGTACGTCTCTGAATACCGTGATTGTAATGTGTCTTAAATAGCAACATTACTCTGTGTGCTTTTATGTTTACACAGGTGTATTTTGCCGTTTATTTTAGACAACATACATGTACAGGTAAAATGAAAAGACAACAAATGTACAATGTGTTATATATGCCTAACTATGCTTTAATTTTTAATTTTATTTCTTTTGATTGGTAAAATAGACTATACATTAATTTATATAAATAAAATCAGTTGGAATTAAATTTAAATAAACATGAATCATATATATATTATTATTATGGGGACGGGACGACTAAGAATACGGGGCCGGATCGGGAAGGGGCCGAAACTACTTTGGTCGGAACGACTATGGACGGACCAACTCGGGGGCCGGAACGACCCCCTGTATTCGAAGAGAAGGACGAAGAGAGATAACTCTGCTTTCAATCCTTCAGAAGAACTCTTTAATTCGAATAACAGAAGGTCAAAACAACACACCGTTATTTAACTGGGAAAGAACGTTGTGTAATGATCACGCCTTTTCAATAGACGTGATTATACATTTTTGTTTCAAGATCACGGTAGTTGAGAAGAGAGTAAGTCTGCTACGTGCTTGTAATAGCATAGGTTACGTCTCTGGTGCTCGGCTGTGGCTCTGACCTCACTTGTCTGGTTGTCAACCGATCAGCTGATATGTAACGTTACTGATAAAACCGGTCGGCTGCTTAAGTCTGGTCATATACGGTCGATACCCCGTGTAGGAAAACAGTGCATATACTTCTAATAACCTTCGTGTTATATATGAGCATGAATGTATGGATTGCATACGACTAAATTTATTTTCAAACATCTATATAAACATGTATTGTAGTTGTGAAATGGTTCCTACTGTCGCTTAGGTCAACAACTGCTGAAAGTGATGAAACAGTTTGGCGTGTTGCATGATTTTTATTAGTTATACCACGGACTTGGATAACAACCTCATCTAATTCCGTGGGGATACAGTGTAAGTGTAGTTGAATTGGACTTGATTGATGGCCGGTGACCAGATATAGCTCAACTGGTAGAACAACTGTCTAGAGCTACATCTGTAGGTGGGTCCAAAGTTTGAATCAGGGTCAGGTAGTCTAACTACAAATTTTGTAATGTTTGTAATATAGAAACGGAAAAATGCATTGCCAGACTGGGATTTGATCTTGGACCTTCAAAATTCTAGACGGACGTTCTACCAATTCATTATTGCCATTTTGGTACCAACCTGGTTGCCAGCGATCAACCCATTCCAGTTCCAATGCATACAAATTAATTCATACAAAGACAAGCAAATTAGCCCTACATTTACATTCACATTTACGGCGATACTGCAAAGGGCCGTCAAACAGCATCAACTTGCAGGTAGACTTGTGTGGCGTGGCTTCCACATAAGTTCGTTAAAAACAGGTTAAAAAGTTAAAACTATTTACAGGATCCACATTCACTCTGCAAGATGACTGTGGAGCGAGGTCTTGAATGCCTCTACAGTCAGCTGCTCGACAACCTCTGATGGTAGTTCATTCCATTCCATGATGGTGTTTGGAAAGAAGCTGTATTTGTAGGTGTCGGTGTGTTGCATTGTATGTTGATATAGCCGTGGTTATGTTGTCTCCTTCCACTTCTGGTGTTACTACTGATATATGGTGGTATGATCAGTGCATTGGTGTTGTGGATGCCTTTGTACAGGTTGTAGCTCGTTAAACATCCCGGTTACACTACTGTAACGTGAGTAATCGCCGGTTGTAAAATTGAGCCTTTTTTGGCCAATGAAAAGATGTCACTTATGTATATCCTCAATCATATTAGTATTGTTCCTCAATTGCAATATATACTAATGGTTAAACAATAAATAATATCTCAAAGGGAAAAAGGAGGTGGGTATTTCCAGCATTTTTCAGAATTTAAGGGTAATTCAAACTTCTAATTTTTCCCATAGCCAATAATCAAAAATCCAAGATTCAGCATGTTTACCAATAATTCTGTTTTAATGTCTGATTTACTTGTGTTTTAATGTCTGCATTCATCTTTCAGATATTACAGAGGATGACAGTTTTGCATTAGAGCTGAAGTGTACTCGACCTTGCCAACAAAAAACCCTCATAGACCAGAGCGGACAGGATGTATTCCTTAAAACTGTTATCAAGTCTAACCAGACAATACCAGTCTGTAGCACCCTCATTACAAAGAGTCGGTCATTTGACCAGCTCCTCTCTACGACCATCCGTCACTTTCAAGTGCCATAACTGCGGTCAAGTTATCCGAAAGTTTACTCAAACTAGGACAAACTTTTCATCATTAAGTGAAGTGACAGCAAAGAAAAAACCCAAAGTGAAATATCGTAAATCTAAATACCTTCTGTTTGGTTTAGGATTAACATCAATAGGATTTGGTGCTTATTATTTATCACTTACGGAGCAAAACAAACGCAAGGTTCGAGTCTTGCTTGGTGGCTGTGTCAGATTCCTAAGGTGAGCATATGGTCATGATCAGGATAATTTTAATTATATGTAAAAACTGACAATTATACTGAGTCGGGCAACAATTTCTCAACAAAAACTTGTAATATCATACTGTAAAGGTTACTTTTGGTAAAAATCTTAAGATTTTGTACTCTCATTTTTTTTTATTAAAATTTGAAATATAAATGAATACTTATAACTAACTTGTATATGTCATTAACATAGGTCGTTAAAAATAGGACTCCTGATTTCCGCGGACTACAAATGGACCTTGTGGAATCTGGACGAGATGTCGGAGGAGTATGACCAGGCAATCCGCCCCTGTCACAAACGGGCTGCGGAGAGGATGCTATTGGGGTGCCTCCAGAACGGAGGCCTGTATGTGAAGTTAGGACAGGGTATGGTGTCTATGAACCACATCCTACCCAGAGAATACATAGATTCCCTAGTCATTCTACAGGACAAAGCCCTCAGCAGACAGCCCCACGAGGTAATGCTAATACAGTGATATCAACTTAAACACTAAATATTGACGTTGTATATAAACAGAATTAAGGATGTATGCTACCTCTCTGTGACATGGAGACTCTAACGGTATGTGTGTCTTTTGTGATCCAAATATTTTGAAACTTTGCAGATTATCTTTCTTATATTGAATGGAAAACAAAAAACTGAATTGGCTAACATCATCATAGCATAGAGGGCAGCACAATAGAGCCAGCAATTAGAACCATCATAAGGTTTGACACAGATCAACTGCTGTCTTCTGCTGCAAGGGGAATCAACAATGTGTACGTACACAGCTTAACACATAAAATATGTCATACCTTTATGTTCTGTAGTTCTCTTTAATACAACTTGGTTATTTTTAAAAAGGACTCGCAAAATAATTCTCAGGACAATCAGAAAATGATGAGTTCCATGACTCACTGGAATGAAGTCCTAGATTTAACACAGACTCTGTGGAATTTCCCCCCATATCGTTTTAAAATGTCATGTCAACATCTCCCCCATTTGTTTTGTCTCATATTGAAATCACTCTATTGTTCAAGGCAGGAATGGAGAAAAAATTGAGGTAAAAATCTCCTGTTTAACAGTTATATCAAATCTGACAAAAATATTACAGGCAGTGTTGATACATTATATGGAAGCTCAGATAAAGCTCCCTACAAAAAAAGGTAGATCGTGTGATTTATCTGTAACATTGATGTGTACAGGTAGAGGAGCTGTTTAAGGAAGACTTCGGGATGACTCCACAGGAGATGTTTGCCAAGTTTGATGAAGAACCTATCGCTGCAGCTAGTCTTGCTCAAGTCCATAGAGCAGTGACGAAGGAGGGAGAGACCGTGGCAGTCAAGGTAACAGTAACATGTGTCACACTGTCACTCCGTATTCAACCATCCTTGAAATTTCAGGGGTTACGCTCACTTTCATATGTTTTCAGCATCCCTTGAATATGTCGTGACAAAAATCAAAGGCACGTGGTTTAGCTATTTGATTGGTTTCAGGTTTGAACCAATTGTAAAGCTGATACTTGTCCTCCAATGATTACAGAGGAGAAACACCCGACTTCTACCATCCACACGAGTTTAACCCCCAAAATTTAGTTATAATAAACAGTCTTATAACACTGTAACTAAAAGATAGGTAGTGTTGGGACTTTATTTATTCAGACAATTTAAAGAAATTGTATATATATCTATTATATTTTTACCAGTGAAATATTGAAAATTATTCATTCTATAAAAGTGATATTTTTTACTCGTGAAAGATATTAGCCACACTTATGAAATATATTTGGTATAACTGAAGACACTGTTAGATATCCTCTATTTATTGTCATTCTTTTCATAAATTAAAATCCATCTTCATGAGGACAATGTGACAATATAGAAATAGTTATTAATTAAGTCACAGTATTTGTGAAGTTAATGTCTTGATTCAATGAAAGTTACAATAGCGGCTACTTTGACTACCAGTAGGAAATTTTCACATTCATTGTACTTCTGAAAATTGTTAAATGGGTGTAATTTTGTATCAAAATTTAAAAAGTATTTGAGCTGAGGCTACTAGGTCAAAACATTGCTTTGAAAGAAGAACACTATATAAAGAAGTGAACAGATGAGTCGTACACAATAGATAAACCCATCAGTCTAATTGTATTGTGGGTCACAACGAAACCATGTATGTATTGCCATAATATTAGTCCTGTAGGCATTAATAGGCAAGCTCACACATACAAACTTGAGCATAACAAAGAAATGTGTACAGTTTAGATCCTGACAAGTGAGAAAGACTTTTTTCAGCATTTCTCTTTCCTGCTTAAGTTTTTGTACTTAACAAGGTGTTCCGAAATAGACGTACAGAAATTGTGATTTGCAAAATCAAACCCCTGCAAATAAGTTCCGGACACAAAATCACGACAACTATACAGTAACCTAACATGGGTGATTTTACAGGTCCAGTATATTGACCTCCAGGACCGTTTCTATGGTGACATTAAGACCTGTGAGATTATACTGGAGCTGATTGGCTGGCTGCATCCAAAGTTTGGGTTTGCTTGGGCACTTCAGGTAGGAAATCAACACCAGCCATAATACCCAGGTAAACTGTGTAAAGTGGGATATTTCTGGGCCCCCTTTAGGCCAGAAAAATGGACCAATTTCCCTCCAAAAGTGAATAAGATTATCTGAAATTAGTGAAACTTCAGTTATATAGTTATAATTCTCTGAAGTTCTACACCTGAACTTAATTTATTTTAATTTTGTGGAAGTTTTGCTACTTTTATAAAAGTATTTCTACATTTGTTATTCAGATTTTGTGAAATTGCACATATACATATATATTTACAAACAATACTTAAATTTCTGAATTTGCTGATCTACTTTTTATTAATCCAGTCTTTTTTGTTGGAGTTACGGTCCTTTATATAATTACAAAATCATCAGTAATACTGAACAGTATACTTTAAATTGTGCAATTGGAATTTAATTTTTAATTCAGATGGGAATTAGGTAAATTACATAGTAGCTGGGGGTATGAAGTTGGCCTGCAGCTTACAGTTCTAGATTATGTAATTATTATTGGATTCACTGGTTTGCCTTAATACTAGTGATGATTTTAAAATATTTCAGGATTTGAAAGGAACACTGGAGTTGGAACTAGACTTTATTAATGAAGGCAAAAATGGAGAGCGGTGCTTGAAAGATCTCCAACACCTAAACTATGTCTACGTACCGAAGATTTTCTGGAACATGACCACCAAAGTAAGTACATCTCTACTTAATTATATATATATAAATCTTAAAGCTTTTGACTTAAACGTCACAATACAACCTATTGTTTATGACGTCAAAATTTCTGCCATTGTTAATGATGTCACTATATATATATATATATATATTTTATATACAACTAAAACACGATAAACAGTTATCTGTTTATTACACATGTTAGCAAAAACATGAATAAGATACACTGAGAAGTACATGTATACATTATTAACATTTGGCATATCAGGGGCTACTCACTCTACTTGCTTAGCATACCCTTAATACAACTTAAACTTAAAATTTAACATCAAGACTCCAAAAAGACACCTAGAGAAGAGGCTTGACTCTGCCGAACTCCAGAGNAGAAATATGAAATACAGATGATATGGATTACTAATGAGTGAGAGCCCCCAATGAAATTATCAAGAAAATTGTTTTGATTTTCTACCTTAAGATCATATTAATAAAATGCATAACTTGTGTTTGTTTACAGAGAGTATTGACAGCAGAATTCATCGAGGGTTGTAAGATCAGTGACTCCGGTGCTATCAAGGATATGGGTTTATCTCTTAAAGATGTAAGTTAACTCGTTATATCTATTATGTAATAATTTCAAAATATGATCTAATTCATAATATGTGTAAGTCATTAAAATTTCAGCGGTTCAGATAAGAAAGACAACTCCTTAATTGTAAATTTTAGTATAAAGGAATCAATATCTATTAACTTTAGATATTTTTCAATTACAAATTAAGTAGACATGAAAAAGCAGTAGTTCAATTTCATAATTTTTTAAAGTTGTTATGACATCTGTTGAATCTGTGTCCCTAAGAGAATGACCAATGTATGATGTGACTGTTCTCCTTAATGTATTTGTTAGGTGGATCAGAAACTAGTCAAGTGTTTCTCCGAGCAGATTTTCCTTTCTGGATTTGTGCATGCTGACCCTCACCCAGGAAACGGTAAGATCTCTTTGCCCAAAGACCGTTTCTGTTCAATTGTAATTCCTAGTTTCTGAATCATTTGCTTTATTTTCTGTTTTTGCTTTCTCCAATCACATCCATGCTGTTACCATGTTTGTTTGTTTATGTTATGGAAGAGCATGTGGTTCAGGGTCTGTACAACATCCCTACCCATAGACAGTGTTTGTAAGTAAGGGGAGCTAATCCATCACTGCTTCTTAGAAAAAGCATGTGTATTTATTCCTTTCTGTTGCAGTGTTTGTACGTAAAGGAAGTGACAAAAAGGCCGAACTTGTGCTTCTGGACCATGGTCTGTACGATATCCTCACGCCCTCCCATAGACAGTCCCTGTGCCATTTGTTTAAGGCAATTGTTATGCAAAATGAGGACAACATGCAGAAATATTCCCAGGAACTTGGGGTTGAAGGTAAGGTACCGAGTTGGTTTAGCGTCAAAGGACAGGATAAAATTGATTCATATGTCTCTGAGTAGGAATCGATTGTCAAATTTCATTGAAGGAATTATAAACAAAAAAAAGTCATATATTAGATAGGTTAAGGATGTATGCTACCTTACTATAACAAACCTTGCCTTTCAAAACAAGTTCCACGCTGACTGAGCTGTGAAAAATGCTGTATTATTTACAAAACTAGGACATGATAAATTAAATGGCGACAAATTTTAAAAGGTTCACAAGAAAAAATACATTGTTGAGACTTATATACACTCAGTCTTTAAATAATTCAAAATTACAACCCTATAAGGGATATAACTCAATTCCATTCATAGGTATACTGAATAAGGTAGCATATAGCCATAAGGTGCAGATGTTGTTCATTTTAATTAGCTGCTAAAAGTTGACACCAGTACTCTATAAGCATCGTCCAATTTGAAATATGATTTTCTATTTTTGAAGGAGTCATGAGGTGATAATTTCACTTGAGCATAAATACATCAAATCAAAGCCATTTATGTATATTTCCTCTGTGTTCAACTTGAGTTAACAATTCTTAACTTAAAAACAGAAAGTTATAGTTTATAATTATTAACAGTAATTTTCCTAGGATTGATTCATAAAATAGATAAGTCGGGATCAGTGAGGGCATATTTTATCTAAAATCATAAACTGTGATCAGTCTGATTAAGAAAAATCCTGTTGACATCTCACAATTATGTCTTTTTTACAAAACAATTTGTATAAATCTGCTACCATACCGTGTATTGTTACGTCTACGTGTTGAGAACTTGTCATATCCTTTAATTAAACCAAAATAAATGTTTGTTTCAGGTTACATGCATGAACAAAAAATAGGGTCCAATAGTAGGGAAATAATTTTATATTAGTGTTAATTTTATATTTTCGTGAATTAATATTATGCTTAATTTCAAATTTTACAATGCATTTCCACGCATTACAATGGTTCTCAATTTGGCAAGAATAGGGTCACACTCCCAGAACCGGAAGTAAGTCCATTTTAATGAGTGGCTGTGAACTTTGCCTGGCTAATAAATTAATCTTAGATACAAGTAGGTGATAAAATATCTAGGGTTGGCGTGAAAATCTAGGGTAATTTGTGATACCTGAAACTCACATATATTTTTTTTGGCCTAAGATAATGAAATTTAGCTCTTGTTGATGAAGGTTTAGCTATAAAGTGAAAATTCTGGCATGTGTAAATGTTTGGGTTGTGACTTACTGAACTGATCGCGGTGTGGAAATATTCACGTTGGTAATGGTTGTGAAGTTTATTTATGCTACGTATCTATAATCTCTAAATAAATGTTAACATCTGGATAGTTTCCTATTGTTTAATTAACTCAATGCAAAAAAAAGTGAGCATTCCCACATTGCGAACAATTTTCAGTTGTTAATGAGTCTTCAGTGTTGACAGTAAATATTGATGTTCCCTGGTGTATGCTACAGTTAAACACTGCTGTCCTCATCTTTAGCCTTGTTTTCCAGATTACCAGATTTTTTCTATGATGGTTAAACAAGGTCCTATAAAGTTCAAGACAAACTCGTTCTTCCGTCACCGTATAACCTCTAAACGGCAGTTTTACAAAATGCCGAAGGACGTTCAGGTGGAGTGGAAGGAGGATTACGATAAGATGTGGGATCGATTCCGCGGAACCTTCAAGGACATGCCTATGTGCTTGTATTTCATTTTCAGGTACCTTTCCTGAGAAGCGTGAATATCTTCATTAAATGTATTGCTTGTAGTTATTGCAAAAAGGCTTTTCCAAATCAAAATTTCCTGGCTCATTTTACAAGTATCATATGATACAGTCATAGCTTGACAAAGGAACCAGTCGGTCTCACACAGTCATACCTTGACAATGGGACCAGTCGGTCTTGAAACGTTGCGACACGTTTAATACATGCATTGTTTGTGTAGAAAGTAAAACTTTGATTTTAGCATATGAAATAGTTTCCAAAACATGCCTGACCGGATAGAGAGTTCCATCTGATTCTAAAAATATTTAGGTAAATTAATGTAAATTTCACTAATGATTAAAAGTAACGTTCGACTCCTGTACTCAAAGTATCATTGGTTTAAGTGATCGCCAACATTTTTTGAATAACACGTTTTAGAAATATCATAAAATTTACAAATAACAGATATTCTTGCATTTACTCTCATCAGATGAGCATCTGGAACCCCTGATAATTGTGTTTTTGTTACAAGTTTCGTTATTTTATAAAAGATGATATTGATATTAAGTTTCTATAACTCAACATCAAGCTAATCGGATGGAACAATGAGGCCCTGATCTAAGTCAATGTCGTACTAATCTTAAATCAGTTTTGTCTGTTTACCAGACTGCCCGATACCAGATAAGGCTTGGCCTTCAGGATCACTGATAACATGTTAGAATACCTGGTCTTATCACAACCCAAGCAGTAGCATTGTGCATGGTTATATTGCCCAAATTTATACTTGTTATACTGTCATCATTTATCAGTAAAACCTTGTTATACTGTCATCATTTGTCATTAAAACCTTGTTATACTGTCACCATTTATAAGTTAAACCTTGTTATACTGTCAGTATTTGTCAGTTAAACCTTGTTATACTGTCATCATTTGTCAGTAAAACCTTGTTATACTGTCATCATTTGACAGTAAAACCTTGTTATACTTTCATCATTTGTTTATTAAAACCTTGTTATGCTGTCATCATTAGTCAGTAAAACCTTGTTATACTGCCAGCATTTTCCAGCTACATTTTAGTATGAAAAGCAATACACAGGATTCATATTGTAAACAAATTGCTAAGAAAAACACAAGGGGGAGGGGCATTAATAAATGTTGGTGTTAAGTGAGTTAGCAATAACAAATGTTTTGAGGTTTAGCTGTATTGCAAAGTTAAATCACCCTCAAAATATTTTCCATTATGGTAGAATTCCAAGATCATGTATAGAATTATGAAAAAATACTTTTATGAAAATGAAAAAAATGTCCTCTTCAAAAGGACCTTAAATCGTACAAACTTAAGTCCCTTCAATAAAAGGTTAAAGGAAACATACACTTTAGACAATGGAATCTGAGAACATTTTCAACTTTCTGGATGCTACACAAAGCTTTCAAATTCTCATAAACTTTGGGGTAGGGTTAGTGTAGTTTATTCAAATTTTATAAATATAATGTTGTATGATCCATTATATATTAAGCTTCAAGTTTGTTAGATTTTCATACATATATATACATATGTATCAGTGTTTAGCAGAACTTTGAAAATTGAAATCCCAGAGTGGTTAAGCCCATTCAGGCTCCCCAGGAGGAACGACTGATCTCTATTATGAAAAAAACATATATTATATTCAATATAATCAATCCAATGTATCACACATATATGAGACTCCGGCTTTGTGTATTTTTGACTGGATTAATAATTTTAGACTATACTTGTACAGTGTCAGTTTCTCTTCTGTTACAAACATACCTTACAGCAGGTAATTTTTTTTAGTTAATGATTTTGACAATTAAGCGGATCCACATTGAGATAGGCAAAATTTAAAACACTGAGTATTATGTTCATCAAAAGGAAATTTATCCCGTTTCTCTCGTTACAAGTCTGACTAGTAGGCAGTTATTCAGGAGGGATATAGCGTCACTCTCGGTTGTGTATTCGTCTGTGGATCTTCCCCAAGTGTCGTCTCTCTAATTCCTTCGCTTTGCAATTTTGACATCATTACTGCATTCAGTAAACATACCTTGGTACAAGTTCATGTTTCATGGTCATATATCAAAGGTCAAGGTCACTGTTTCTATTAATAGAAAACAATGGTTGCCATTGCTTTACTGGCTGGGTTTGTTTTGCGGTTCGGGTGAGACTTAAATAATACACACATACCTCCATTGGCTCATGTTTCTGCTTCCCTGACATTTCAGGGGTTCTGTTATAGTTACGCAGGCTAACCTGCTCGTCTCCTTTGAAACAAGTCATGACCAGATCAGAGGCACTCGATTAGCTATTCAATTGGTTTCAGGTTAAATAAATTGCCCGATCGCTAGGCTGTTACCTTTCCTTTGAAAAAAACAGCGTTGAGACAGTCGACTTCAAAGTTGGTCAATTTTAAAGTTACCCTAGGGAGCAATTCTTTAGCTGTACACAGGACCAAACCCGGTCTACTTGTATCGTCCGCAAAGTGTCACATACAGAGCTTCTGGTAATTTCATGGCATATTTCGTCATTATACCACCTGTAAGTCACTGCTACTGGGGGTTATTGGGAAACGTGTTAGGGTTGAAATAGTTATTTCAACACTATGCAGTTTAAACCAATATGGTAAAAGAAAATACATCTTTCGTCCGACAGATCTTTGAAATTTAAAATCACAAAATATTTAAAATTGTTAAAATTTGTGGCTGCAAAAAATTCCTGCTGTACGGTATATGTTTTTAAATTAAAATGGCCTTAATTTTTTGGTCTTCCGTTTTTGGTCTGTTTTGACCTTTCCTTGTTTAACTAATTGCTTGATTGGCTTACAGGGTTATCTCCCTTACCTTACACGAGATGTCTGCCTGGCAGTGATGTAATATCTCTTCTTACTCAGTCTCTAGACAAGTTCACTTAGGTATTTCCTCCATTATTAGCTTAAGTTTGTTTCCTGTTGTATCTTGTCAGATCATGTCGTACTGGGTGAAATCCTTCTGCAAAGGCCAATCTCTCGCGGGAGTTTCCAACTCCCAAACCGCATGACTGACAAAGATCTAGAGCACATGAGAATCATGGCACAAAAGCATTTTGACAAAATCATGACTGTTCTCAAAGACATGCCACGGACAATGCTGCTGCTTGTCAGGTTGGTTGAAAGGAGGTGTAACCTTGACCCTTTGCCCCCTGTAAAAGCATTTTGGCCCCTTCTCTACATGCGTGATCAACTACAGATTTTGGTCACCCCTCTACTGTTACCGTGTGGCTTTAACTCGTTTACACAGCCTTCATGTAAGACCTTTGAAATACATTCTTGTTTTGATAAACTCTACAGAAAAAAAGTTCTTTGAAAAAAGAAATCATGAATGAAAATGGCATTTGTTGAGATTTTGGTATTGACACATGTAGAGCACAACAATGTATGTCTGTTCACTGATACCCAGTGGTCAGGGGTTTCTGTTCACTGATACCAAGTGGTCAGGGGTTTCTGTTCACTGATACCCGGTGGTCAGGGGTTTCTGTTCACTGATACCCAATGGTCAGGGGTTTCTGTTCACTGATACCCAGTGGTCAGGGGTTTCTGTTCACTGATACCCAGTGGTCAGAGGTTTCTGTTCACTGATACCCAATGGTCAGGGTTTCTGTTCACTGATACCCAGTGGTCAGGGGTTTCTGTTCACTGATGCCCAGTGGTCAGAGGTTTCTGTTCACTGATACCCAATGGTCAGGGGTTCTGTTCACTGATACCCAGTGGTCAGGGGTTTCTGTGCACTGATACCCAGTGGTCAGGGGTTTCTGTTTACTGATACCCAGTGGTCAGGGGTTTCTGTTCACTGATGCCCAGTGGTCAGAGGTTTCTGTTCACTGATACCCAATGGTCAGGGTTTTCTGTTCACTGATACCCAGTGGTCAGGGGTTTCTGTTTACTGATACCCAGTGGTCAGGGGTTTCTGTTCACTGATGCCCAGTGGTCAGAGGTTTCTGTTCACTGATACCCAATGGTCAGGGGTTCTGTTCACTGATACCCAGTGGTCAGGGGTTTCTGTGCACTGATACCCAGTGGTCAGGGGTTTCTGTTCACTGATATCCAGTGGTCAGGGGTTTCTGTTCACTGATACCCAGTGGTCAGGAGTTTCTGTTCACTGATCTCAGTGGTCAGGGGTTTCTGTTCACTGGTACCCAGTGGTCAGGGGTTTCTGTTCACTGATATCCAGTGGTCAGGGGTTTCTGTTCACTGATACCCAGTGGTCAGAGGTTTCTGTTCACTGATACCCAATGGTCAGGGGTTTCTGTTCACTGATACCCAGTGGTCAGGGGTTTCTGTTTGCATTGGGCAAACGGGTTAGGAAAGATGGGAGGGAGCATAAGAGATATCTGAAGGCGTTATTTTATTAAATTTTTATGGTAATATACCCTTTTAAGACTGATGGAATCTGTCACCTGAATGTAGTGTAGGAAAAAACAAACGTTGAGCAGCTGACCAATGGTCCTGTTTAAATGCAATCTACTATGATGCTTCAGTCGTGACTGTGGGGATATTTTGAAGACATTTCTAAAGTCCCTGTAACACTAACTGCTAGAACATTATTTTAATCATTTCAACATACAATAATATAGTAAATATGAGTCGGTTCAAACGTGAATATTATAAACATGAAATGACTTCTTATTCACTGGCTGAAAGGCTTGGAGTGTGTGTCCTGTAGTCTGTAAATTTTCTTTACAGGAATATGAACACCATCCGAGCTATTTGTAGGGAGCATGGTCATGTGGTCGACAGATACAGTATCATGGCAAGGAGGTATGTATCTAGGTATCCGATAACGAGGGATAATAATTTGTGAAACGCTTCGAGACAACCTACGAACTAGGTTGTGATAAAGCGGTATACAAGAACCTCAAATTATTATTATTATTATTAATAGGTCAGTCAATATCAGTCAAGGTCACACAGTGAATAGTGCACTTGGTTTTTATCAAAACGGCCGGGGTTCGACTCCCCAATCAGGCTAGAACTTTGAACAGGTATTGGTTCACCTGTGGACCTCGTCGGCTTTCTCAGGGTATAACTATGGTTTAGTCAGGGTATAACTATGGCTTTCTCAGGGTATAACTATGGTTTTCTCAGGGTATAACTATGGTTTTCTCAGGCATTAAGATCCTCTGCATGCTTCCATCCTGGCTAACAAGAGTGATTGGTATAAGTGAGATTTTTTTTTTTCATAATTGTTGTAAAACTTTATAAAAAAAAGTCAGTAATTATCAGTCAAGGTCAGTTAAAGTCATTTCACATCAAGGTCAGTCAACAGTATTCAATGTCGTTCATCTTTGGTCAACGTCAGTTATTGTCATTTACATTCATTAAAATTCAGTAAATGTCACTCAAGGTCAATCAACATAGTCATTGAGATTTAAGGTCAGTTAACTTAGTCATTGACATTCAAGGTCAATCAACTTAGTCATTGACACTCAAGGTCAGTCAACATAGTCATTGACATTCAAGGTCAATCAGCTTTGTCATTGACACTCAAGGTCAGTCATCATAGACTTGGCATTCAAGGTCAGTCAACATAGTCTTGGCATTCAAGGTCAGTCAGCTTAGTCAAGGTCATACAATGACACTCAAAGTCAGTCAGCATAGTCATTGACACTCAAGGTCAGTCAGCTTAGTCAAGGTCATACAATGACACTCAAGGTCAGTCAGCATAGTCATTGACACTCAAGGTCAGTCAGCTTAGTCAAGGTCATACAATGACACTCAAGGTCAGACAAGGACCATCGGTATTAGTGAAGGTCAGCCATGGTTAGTTAATAGCAGTCAACAACATCAGTCACTGCGAGGTAACACTTATATTTTGTGTCCACCTCTCTGTTACAGTGCTATCACAGGGTGCCAGAAGACAGGAGAGTTCCACTTGACGGTGTCAGGGCGTGTGCGAGCGTGGTGGGAGCGTTGTATCTACGATTATAACATACAGTTAGATAAGATGAAGATGTGGGCTGGCATCCTCTACATTCGGCTCATGGCGTACCTCGGTCGACTCCCTGATCTGGAGAAGATTCAGAAAACGATCCAGGAACAACAGGATAAGAACAGGTGAGAGTCAACAGGTTGTCTGGGTGTGTCAGTAGATCGCTGTATCCAAACAGGATATGAACAGGTTTGTCTGGGTGTGCCAGTACATCGCTGTATCCAAACAGGATATGAACAGGTGAGAGTCAACCGGTTTGTCTGGGTGTGTCAGTAGATCGCTGTATCCAAACAGGATAAGAACAGGTGGGAGTCAACAGGTTTGTCTGGGTGTTACAGTACATCGCTGTATCCAAACACGATAAGAACAGGTCAGAGTCAACAGGTTTGTCTGGGGGTGTCAGTACATCGCTGTATCCAAACAGGATAAGAACAGGGGAGAGTCAACAGGGTTGTCTGGGGGTGTCAGTACATCGCTGTATTCAAACAGGATAAGAACAGGGGAGAGTCAACAGGGTTGTCTGGGTGTGTCAGTACATCGCTGTATCCAAACAGGATATGAACAGGTTTGTCTGGGTGTGCCAGTACATCGCTGTATCCAAACACGATAAGAACAGGTCAGAGTCAACAGGTTTGTCTTGGTGTGTCAGTACATCGCTGTATTCAAACAGGATAAGAACAGGTTTTTCTGGGTGTGTCAGTACATCGCTGTATTCAAACAGGATAAGAACAGGGGAGAGTCAACAGGGTTGTCTGGGTGTGTCAGTACATCGCTGTATCCTAACAGGATAAGAACAGGTGGGAGTCAACAGGTTTGTCTGGGGGTGTCAGTACATCGCTGTATTCAAACAGGATAAGAACAGGGGAGAGTCAACAGGTTTGTCTGGGGGTGTCAGTACATCGCTGTATCCTAACAGGATAAGAACAGGTGAGTGTCAACAGGTTTGTCTGGGTGTGCCAGTACATCGCTGTATCCACCTCCAAATCCACGGGTACTGCTCCCATACTCTCCTCTACACCCTTGGAACATCACATGACAAAATCAAAGGCACATGATTAGCTATTTGATTGGTTTGAAGTATAAAAAACCTGACCAATCACTCAGCTGTTATCTTTCCTTTGAAGGTTACGGAGGAGCTACACTGACTTCAAAGCCGGGCAATTTAACTGTTAAACTGCTGTCACTTCTCTTGATGTCCATCAAAACTCACTAGCTTTGTTTCTTTTGATGTTTTACTCTTGCCGTTCCTTAAGTACTGTAATCTTGTGTTTTCTGTTACAGAGCTTTCAACAGTGAGGTGTATACATGACAACTTTGATTCTTGAAACACAACGGAAATGTGTCCACACGGGTTAATGTAAAAAAAAACACTGCGATGTCCCTCCATGCCAGGAACTGTATGTGGGCCAGACTTGGTGTGAAGGCAGGAACGGATCATTATGTCTTAAGAATAGAAATAGGATCACAGGTTTCCTGTTGATGGAATGCTGAACTCATTCTTCCCTGAAATTTCGTAATGGACTATCACAACCTTTAAATTTGAAGAGTTCAAATGAGTCTTCAGGAGTTACTTAAAACTATATACCTGGACTGTCTTCACAGGACCCTGGCTATTACAAACTTATTAACAAATGTTCGCTGTAGTGATAAAAGGCGAAAAAATTAAACCGCAGCAAAAATATACTGGTATACGGTCTTTTGAGGGAAGTGCTTAATACTAGAGAGCGCAAAATGATTTGTTGATTATAAAACTATGACATATTTATGTAGTGTTGAAAAATTATAGGTTGAACCAAAGAAGAAACAAATTATGAGGTGAAGAGATACAGCGTCTGTAAACTAAGTCAATCAATGTCCAATCAGTGTCCTATGTTCTTCTCTGTAGGAAATGTGTCTAAGTAAAAACTGGATTTATAAACAAACTGGAAATTGTAATCTTAGATAAGATTCAGTATTGTTACATTTATGTATTATTTATACAGTGAAACCTTGTTAAACTGTCAGTATTTGTCAGTAAAACCTTGTTATACTGTCAGTATTTGTCAGTTAAACCGTGTTATACTGTCAGTATTTGTCAGTTAAACCGTGTTAAACTGTCAGTATTTGTCAGTTAAACCTTGTTATACTGTCAGTATTTGTGGATAGATTGCAACAAACAAAAGAGTGGCTTTGTAGATGCTAAGTGCTATAAAGGTTTTGGCAAATTAAAGAGGGAAATATGTAAATGAAATGTTGAGGAATATTTGAAAAGGAAAGATTGAAATAGTGAAATATTTCCTCAGTGTAAATTTAACGTTACGCTACCACAATTTGTACACGGTCAGAAAAAGATACAAATAGAACTTTAAAATTAAATTTGAGTATTTTCCTCTGACAGTATAACAAGAGATATTTATCAGCATTTCCACCGAATAGTTTTGTTTTCAGGAACTTTTTAAGAGTACAAGATGGCTTCAAAATAAATATATCAGAAAACCAGTAAAAACCGACGTACGTCGACGAAATTGTGGAGGATAGCATGTTTATATGTTGATTTCTGGGTTTTTAGGTCACCTGAGCTTTAGCTCAAGTGACCTATTGCTNTGATACACATGTAATATGAAAGTGTATAGTTATAAATGCAATATATTTTGTTGCAATTAGCACATCAACTTACAGAAATAAAACAAGTTTTAAAGCCTGTGATATGGTGTACCAATTTGGGTACTAATCATGGCCAAAAAACGGACGAAATCTTGCTGCGAGTTTAGCATTCTATTTTCAGAAACAAATCTCTTAGAATAACAAACAAAATCTGAAAATGAACCACCATGGGGAGTCTTTGTCAAGAATCAAGAAACATTCCAGATACAAGATCTGAATTTTTAAATATCACTGAAAAACTGTTTAAATTTTACCAATTGTGATAGCGTGACATTAGGTTATTTGGAAAGATTAAGGTTATTGTATAAAAAGATTTTAAAGACCATGAGACAAAATGCAAGTTTTCCTCATTGGATTCTGAAGCTGCCTGTGGCTGAATAGAATCCCATTTGTCTGTTGTTTGATTTTGTTCTGATCTCTCTCAGGGAATACTAACTTAGTCAAAATGTTGAAAAAAAATTGACTCTGCTTGAGTGTGTACTGTATAATTCTCACAAAGACAATGATTGTAGTATATCCCAACTGATTTTTTTATTGACTAAATATGTTTATTTGACTATATAGTTTACTGTTTAATTGACTATATAGTTTACTGTTTAATTGACTATATAGTTAACTGTTTAATTGACTATATAGTTAACTGTTTAATTGACTATATAGTTAACTGTTTAATTGACTATATAGTTTACTGTATAATTGACTATATAGTTTACTGTATAATTGACTATATAGTTTACTGTTTAATTGACTATATAGATTATTGTTTAATTGACTATATAGTTTAATGTTTAATTGACTATATAGTTCACTGTATAATTGACTATATAGGTTACTGTATAATTGACTATATAGTTCACTGTTTAATTGACTATATAGTTTACTGTATAATTGACTATATAGTTTACTGTATAATTGACAATACAGTATATAGTTGACTGTTTAATTGACTAAATAGTTAACTGTTTAATTGACTATATAGTTTACTGTTTAATTGACTATATAGTTGACTGTTTAATTGACTTTATAGTTTACTGTATAATTGATTATATAGTTTACTGTTTAATTGACTATATAGTTTACTGTTTGATTGACTATATTGTTTACTGTTTAATTGACTATATAGTTTACTGTATAATTGACTGTATAGTTTACTGTATAATTGACTGTATAGTTTACTGTATAATTGACTAAATAGTTAACTGTTTAATTGACTATATAGTTAACTGTTAAATTGACTATATAGTTTACTGTATAATTGACTATATAGTTAACTGTTTAATTGACTATATAGTTAACTGTTTAATTGACTATATAGTTAACTGTTTAATTGACTATATAGTTAACTGTTTAATTGACTATATAGTTAACTGTTTAATTGACTATATAGTTAACTGTTTAATTGACTATATAGTTAACTGTTTAATTGACTATATAGTTAACTGTTTAATTGACTATATAGTTAACTGTTTAATTGACTATATAGTTAACTGTTTAATTGACTATATAGTTAACTGTTTAATTGACTATATAGTTTACTGTATAATTGACTATATAGTTTACTGTATAATTGACTATACAGTATATAGTTGACTGTTTAATTGACTAAATAGTAAACTGTTTAATTGACTATATAGTTTACTGTATAATTGATTATATAGTTTACTGTTTAATTGACTATATAGTTTCTGTTTGATTGACTATATAGTTGACTGTTTAATTGACTAAATAGTTAACTGTTTAATTGACTCTATAGTTTACTGTTTCATTGACTATATAGTTTACTGTATAATTGATTATATAGTTTACTGTATAATTGACTATATAGTTAAGTGTTTATTTGACTATAGAGTTTACTGTTTAATTGGCTATATAGTTTCTGTTTGATTGACTATATAGTTGACTGTTTAATTGACTATAGAGTTTACTGTTTAATTGCCTATGAAGTTTACTGTTTAATTGACTATATAGTTTACTGTATAATTGACTATATAGTTTACTTCTTTGATTTTTTTTACTGGACTTCTTTTGTAATTTTCCAAAATATTTGTTGATTCAAAATAAAGGAAATTTTATACACATATATGAAACTTTCATGTCATTTTTAGCCCTGCTGATCTTACGGAGGATTTCTTTAAGACTGTCCTCTATTTACCTATGAACCCCTGTTCCCATGAATGCCCCTCCCCCCCTCTCCTTTTTACCTGCTCTAGATATTACTGGTATGAGTAACTTATACTTATAAGTGTTTATTTTTTTGAACACAAACAGTAACTGAAAACTTGTTTTGCGAGCTTTGGAATCATCTGTTCAAAGAGTACATGACAGGTTTCTCGACTCTATGCTGCTGAAAACGACTCGCTAGGCCACAACGTGCCAAGTCAGTTAAGTCAACTGTATGAATAATATCGAAACATTGCGTTTAAATACCAATGTAACACTCTTAATACTGCAGTCAGTGGGACAGGTAATATGTTTACCCATTCAGCCCAATAGTGGATGTTAAAATGGAGTCATATTGGCTTGGCCTGTGACTTAAGACCTCTCAGTGACCAAGGTCATTGTGAATCCATGTAGCTATTGTTTATCACTAAGATTGACCAAACTCTGTTTCTTTTCATGAGACCGAATGAAATTCGTGAGAAATATGTCTCACTGTGAGGAATTTTTCTGAAGTATTTTTCGTGAGTCTTGCGCACAAATCGTTAAGATATGGCATGTATGACAAAGATGACTCACCTGGTGTCTCCCTTCATCTCTGTTCATTGATTCATGACTCAGCTGGTGCCCCCCGCTCGTCTCTGTTCATCGACTCATCTGGTGTCCCCCCTCATCTCTGTTCATTGATTCGCCCCCACCCACCCCATTTAAAGTCTGTTACGACCCTTGAAGGATTGCTTTGATTTTCATTAAACTTACTACATATACACAAAGTATCAATTATCCACTAAAGTGGATTTTCAATTGAATCTGAAAACCAATATGGTCACCTTTGGCCATCTTGGATTTCATGAAGAGACACTGTTTCAGCACTGTAACTCTAGACAGAGTGCTTTGATTTTCAGGAAACATTTGAGACCTTTCTATAATGTCAGTTACACGCTGGCAGCTATGTGGATTTAGACCTTTCTATAATGTCAAACATGTGGATTTAGACCTTTCTATAATGTCAGTTACACGCTGGCAGCATTGTGGATTTAGACCTTTCTATAATGTCAATTACATGCTGGCAGCCATGTGGATTTAGACCTTTCTATAATGTCAGCCATTTGGATTTAGACCTTTCTATAATGTCAGTTACATGCTGGCAGCCATGTGGATTTAGACCTTTCTGTAATGTCAGTTACACGCTGGCAGCCATGTGGATTAGACCTTTCTATAATGTCAGTTACACGCTGGCAGCTATGTGGATTTAGACCTTTCTATAATGTCAGTTACATGCTGGCAGCTATGTGGATTTAGACCTTTCTATAATGCCAGTTACACGCTGGAAGCCATGTGGATTTAGACCTTTCTGTAATGTCAGTTACATGCTGGCAGCCATGTGGATTTAGACCTTTCTATAATGTCAGTCACACGCTGGCAGCCATGTGGATTTTTATCTTAATCTTCAAATCAACGTGGGTGGTAGGCAACACATCCACTTCCGTGGAATTCGTGTTTCAGCATTCTGCTACATGTCAATAGTACACTGGACAAGTATTTGAGAACAGAAAACAAAGACCCCTTGTTTAGTTTTATGAGATGTTTATTTCAACATCAGAAGAAATAACCCATCACTTGTGGAAAACACACAGTATAAAACAATAAAATAAATAATTTACAATCAGCATGTACACAATTTGATATGAAAATCTGAAAAATAGGAAATTTCTTTTTAAAAATATATATTTCGGTTTATCCATTGTCAGAAGAAAATGGAATGTTTGCAAACAATTTCAACAGAAAATCAAAGATCTTTATCTTCTGGAATGCAATTTGTAACAAATGATTTATATACAAAAACATATATACAGCCATTTTACAAAATTAAAACAAAATGCACTACATTTCATCTGAAGGATGGCTGATCACCTGTGTAAATCTCATCATGTGTTTTGAATCAATTTGTTTAAAACCACCGTCTGTAATCAGGATATTTTGAGCCTATGACTTGAGACATAACATGTTTGACCTTTCTTTGTGTTAAAACAGTAAAGCTTACAAATGTCTGAGACAGAATATTCCTAGAATTCTCACCAAGCTCATGTCACCCTTTATGTGTTTCTCGGTCACATGACATTAAAAGGAATTTCCTGTATTAGAGATCGATTCTCTCACGAGAACAAGTCATATTTAATGTGGAACAGCCTATTTCATGAGCGTACACATTTTTTATCTGTCCACACAACTTACTTGTCTGTCTCTCATTCATAACACTTTTGATTGGTTATATATGAATTTAAGTCACATCAAAACTAAAACCATAAACTAGCAATAAATAAATTATCAACATATCTTGATGTAAATAAATGAAGAAAATAATTTAAAATATGAAGAATGTCAGCAAAATTGAAGGTAGCCGTATTTGAGCAAACTGACAGCCCAGACTATTAGGTACATCATACCGGAGAAAGGTTCTTTCAGCGACAGCCTTGAAACTGTAAATGCCATTGAAGCAATGCAAAAATGAATAAATGAATCGATAAAATTTCATCAAAACTCAATCGGTTTAAATTATCATCTGTCATATATTTATACCTTAAGCTATACAATGATAAAAACAGCAGGACAAAAGAGTAACTAAAATAAACTACAGCTATCAGTGAATGTTGAACATTGTCACTCTAGTAAAAATCATAAATAACAAATTTAATGTAAATAGTACAGATCTTTGTGAAGAGACTAGGTTAGTTTTATAAATACTTAAAGAGAGCGATACGAAAATAGAATGTACAACAAAACACCCAAAAAAACTCCAACAAAATGATTGGGAATGATTAATGGCCTGGACATAAGTCTCCATGTTCACAGACAAAATGATTGGGAATGATTAATGGCCTGGACATAAGTCTTGATGTTCACAGACAAAATGATTAGGAATGATTAATGGCTGGGACATAAGTCTCCATGTTCACAGACAAAATGATTGGGAATGATTAATGGCTGGGACATAAGTCTTCATGTTCACAGAACATGTCGCCCCCGCTGCCTTTTATTTCAGCATCATGTTTTGCCCAGTATGAATTATCTCCCTTTGACTGAACACTTTGCATATATTGCTGGTCATGGTGGCACGCAACCACGCATCACTTGAGGAATGAACTAGGTGGCAAGCAACCACGCATCACTTGAGGAATGAACTAGGTGGCACACAACCACGCATCACTTGAGGAATGAACTAGGTGGCACGCAACCACGCATCACAGACCAATCATTTGAGGAATGTACTAATTAAACTAAAAATAAAACTGTCTAAGTACCTACGGCCACATCGTTATTCCCACTGTTTGATCCCTGGTCACTTTTATACAAATATAATAACTATAAATTACATGTTACACCTCTGGGTTGGCCATTATTTGGCATGTATATAAACATATCAAAGAATGGCCAAATTTAAATACATCTGATAAAATCTGTACAAAAAATCTCTAGCACAAATTAATTACAGTATGTACAAAAATTGCATTAACTGATATGTTGTCAAATTTAACAAAGTACATGAACACATTTACATATTTGCATAATGCTGTTCAATAAAGGATCACAGTGTTTCTGATTTTATACTCTCCCACCACTATATTACACTGGTCACACACAGATGTCTTCCTCGTTCTAAACTCACACCCGCCTTAAAACACTGGTCACACACAAGTGAAATATCACAGATTCTAAGTCCACATTCGTTAAAACAAAATCTAGCAACTCATTCGTCCTGAAGTACTCATTAATCTGAATATGAGTAACCTTACAGCAATAAGTTTCTATTTTCAAACTAGCCGACTCATTTTTAACAGTAAATAGTTTTCGCTTCTACAACAGCATTATAACCGACAGCAATATTTCATTCCGTTGCATCATCTCATTAACATTGGCAACTATTAATTTTTGTCATCCCATTTATGCAAATAACATCACGCAAAATGTGGTGAAATTCACCAACTTATATTCAGCAATTCCTACAATGTCCAACAGTTCGCTACGAACAACTCGTGTCTCACAGCACAAACAGATGTCTTATAACAGACATTTCCTGTAAAGTCCATTTTTGATTTTCATTTTGGCTAAGATTTTTTCGTCATTAAGTGGAGTTCTGACAATACTCAAGTTCTTCCATACGTTGTAGCCTTCATGTAGGCTTTTTATTTATGTAAGTGTCATCCTCGAGAAATGATAAATTATCCCTAATTTACACCGAGGAGTCTCGCTGACAGATCCTCTCATTTGCTCCTAAGCGTTTCCCCGACAGATTCTCTTATTTACTCCGAGGAGCTATGCTGCGCTATCTGTGGAGTCCAATATATTTTATCTCCACTCCTAGTCGACTGTGTTGAACCTCTAATACCCTCCAAGGTGCCTCCCCGACAGATCTCCGATCTAGTCTGAGGAGCCATGATGACAGACCCTTTAATTCACACCGAGGAGTCTCGCTGCGCTGTCTGCAGAGTCCAACATACTGTCAATAGACCCCAGCTCCACTCCAAGCAGACTGTGTAAAATATCGTTGTCTTTGCCCTCTCCCATTGATCCTAGTGCTGACCCCAGTGTAGCAGTTACTGATGGCGTCAATTTGCTGATGATACTGTTAGCACGCTGACCTTGCCCTTCCTGAAAAACAGAATGGATAGCAGCGTTACAATTTTATCACAAATTAAACATACATTACTAAAATCCTTCATAGCAAATATGATTATATAGATATTTTATAGGGAATCATAGGTAGAAATTATCAGATTTCCTTGCAAGTGATTCATGGCTTTAAATTTATAGAGATCAGGATACCTGCTGTGAAAAAGTATTGTACATCATTACATCAACAACATCAGTGGCCATGTGCTAGTGACCGTTCATTACCGAATCTCTATACTGTACAGGCTGGGTTCTTTCTGCAGGATTCTCTTTTTTGTGGACAAATTTGTGAACTGTCAAATAAATAGCAACTGAATCCACCCTTACCAAAGCACCTGGTGCCTTGGTTACTCCACCCGATACCATGAGAATAGATTCTGGGAAATTGACCATTTTATTGAATACACAGAAATTAGGGCACACAAAAAATCCTTTTACAGCATTAGTTATATGCACACACACCGAGACTTTTCAGAGTGTGACATTGCTACACGAAGCTTAAATGTACTCCTGATGATGTGTTGGAAGATCCAACCCCGTTGGTTTATGCAGAGGATGGAGTGTATCTTTGATCTAAATCAGACATGTTTTCGGCATTAGAATGCCACAAAGGCTGAACAACTTACCCTGGCTTTGTCTCCGTTGATGCTGACCGAGTTGTAACTGTTGCTGAGGTGGATAGTAGGCATAGCGGACATTGAAGTCATGGTTGGCATGGCAGCGATGACGGGAATACCAGACATGTTTGTCATAGGCCTGATTGGGAGAGGCTGGGAGAGCTGGATCGGGATTGTCGATTGTTTGACAAGGATGCTTGGACTAGGCTTGGGAAGCAAGCGTGGACCCTTGATCTTTAGAGAAGCTATAAAAAACAACAAATAAAGTTAAATTATGAACCTATTTTATGAATAGAAATTACATATTAGTGACAACACTTTCGAGGAATAACATTTCATACAAATACCCGTACGTGAAAATATCACTCTATGGAATTACTATTATAATGAAGCAGCTTTGACAACATTAAGGTACCAGATTTTCTAAACATTTTCTTCAGGTTGGTAAGTATGGATTGTGAAAAGATTCATATAGCACAACCATTAAGTGTTTATATGTGACATTTCAATGACTAGTACGATATGTACTCTGTCACCTTCACCAGACAAAAATGCAATGCAATACAAGTGTACCAGAATGTTAAGAAGTTTTAAGACCCAAAACATAAAATTAACAAATCATGAAAACTTTATGATAAAAAATCTTGAAGAGCAATATGTTTATAGACAGATAGATATACTAACGGGAATGTGTTAGCTACGATGTACCTGCGATGAAGTAATATGTTTATCGACAGATAGATATACTGATGGGAATGTGTTAGCTACGATGAAGCCAAGAGGTTAGATGACAGAGATTTACTTACATAAATCGTCAGTGGAGGGGTTGATATCCTCGTCATCACTGGGGCTGAGGGAACCAGTCTCCATGTGCTTCTTACGATGTCTCATCATACTGTGTTTCAGCGTGAACCGCTTCTGACAGATGTCGCACTCAAATGGTCGCTCACCTACAAATAATGTGACTTTAAGTTTTGGGGTCCCAAGTGACAAGTTTATACAGCAATAGTTGCATAGTAGAATTTTTCGATAAGCTACTATAATAAAGAGTTTCTTATTAATGTCTGCAGTTTTCTTTCTAAAAAACACCTGTGTTTGAATTTCAATTAAACCCTATGAGTGGTCACCAAACTGACTTCTGTTGGAAAGGAAACAAATTCGAGGGTTTTGTAATTTCAAATATATTTTCAAAGAGAAATAAACGATCTATGTACATATGAAGTTGTTAAAGGTGTGTACCTGTGTGGGATCGCATGTGTCGGCGTAGATCCTGCAGGGACCAGAAGCGTTTGGGGCACAGGGAACAGTAGACTTTACGCTGCATATAGTCCGCAGACACCACCTCCATCTTGGGGTCGTCGGCACTCTGGCCGGGGATCTCAAGGATAACGCCTTGGTCGACCTTGTTACAGTTGTTCTCGACGACCTTGTCCATGTGACGTGAAAACGAGTCGACATTGTCCACCTTGTTCTTGTCCTTCAGGATCACCCAATCGGAGGCGTGGAACTTCTCCTGGTGCAAGAGACAATCCAGGCGGACATCGTAGGAAGCGTCACACAGGTAGCACTTGAAAGGCAGATCGATGTTGTGTTCCTTGAGATGACGTACTAACAACTTGCGAGACACAAATTTCTCGCCACAGTTCCAGCAATCAGTGATTTTATCAACATTGTAGTTGTCACGCTCTGGGTTGATCTGTCGCTCGGCCGAGCCGGTGAACTGTTTTGTTGAGCTGTTGAGGCTTGTGTTAATGGAGTTATTTATATCCTCCATGGTGGGCATGGACGGGGTCGATAACTCCAGGTCATCTTCTTCCTCATTGTCCGACTTACAGCCTGAATCAATGGTGATTGACATGAATCGGTCATCTGGACGTTCGTTCTCCTGAAAACAAAAATAAATCACATTTTCACAAATGGCTCACAGATTTACCAGAAATTAAAATTGAAATGAAAAGGTGATGAATATTTTTCATCACACAAAATAATTTTAGTAAGGTTATAATACAGACAGTACATATCAGACTATACATACATCTTTCCTCTAAACTCAGTCTTATATGTCTTATATGTCTTATATGACGACACAAACCGCATCAAACATACATTAAGACCAGTAGACTGAGATATGTACCAAACAAAAGTTATTAAAAAAAAGTTCTATGAACTTATTTACAATATTTTTACGGTTATTATTTCGTTTCTCACCATTGATTGGTTGAGCTGCTCCTCCGCAGCATAGGAACTGTTCTCAAGGACATCGTCCTGGGAAATGCCCAGAGCTCTATCGCGGGCTAGTGACCTTTCCTCACCACTCAAGGTAGTGGCCAGTCCAGTTGTGACAGCCTTGTCAAGGTCGATGAGGGACTCGGGGAGGCTGCAGCCACTGTGGCGCTCCTTGTAATGCTTAAGCAGGTTTCCTATTGGAGGAAAAGCAGTTACATTTAAATATCTCATTTTGGTTCCATTAAAAAAATTGGCTTGGGGTCTCAAATAACATTTTTTTCTTATGTTTAATAGTTGACAATTAATTATGAAATTTTCCTATTGTTTAATATCACTTGACCTCTCAGCTACAGTAAAGTACAGTACTGTAAATAACCACAAACGGTTTTAGTTCTGTAAGTGGGTAGAAAAGTTCTACTGTCAACTTTTAACATTTATTCTTGTTTTCAGACATTCTGCACAAAATTTTTCTGTATGAATTTTTATGGTAATTTCTTTTGTATGAATAATTGTTACAGAGAAAAAGTATGAAAATGTATATTAAAAGTTCTCTAATGGTACCTATAGTCTCATCCTCGATATCCAGGGGTTACGCTCACTTTCGCTCTCTGCACCCCAGGAATTTATCATAGCAAAATTGAAGGCACGAAGATAGCTGTTTGATTGGTCTTAGGTAAAAAAAAAACACGACCGATCGCTTGGCTGATACCTGTCCTTTGAAAATTACAAAGGAGTGACGCCTGACTTCAAAGCCAGTCATTGTTTATTGTTATGTGACCGCGAGATTCTTTTGATGTACATCAAAGGATCAAACTAGTCTTCTCGTCTCATCAACAAGGTGGCGCACACTGAGCCTTCAATTTCGCTATGACATATTCCAGGGGTGTAGAGAGCGAAAGTGAGCGTAATCCCTGGGGTATGGAGGATGCTACAGTCCCAATTCTAAACTAGGTATATCTGACCATTAGAGATGTAGAAGGTCTATTCTGTACGTACCTTGGGTGGAGAAGGAGCTGAAGACACACAAGTGACACTTGTACGGTCTGTCCATGGTCTGCCGAGACAGTGGGTCCATCATGTTGACTCCGTGTTTACGGATCAGATGACGCTCTCGGTTAGATTTTGTTGAAAATGTCACTGGACACTTTGGACACTTGAATGGTTTTTGACCTGCAACAGACACAAAGATTATCTATATTATTCCCACAGTAACCGAAAAGAAATAATATCTTTTAAATTTCAGAGATAAACTTTAATTTAATTAATTGCGATGTCAACAGTTTAAGCAGCTTAAATTACGGTCAAAGATAAAAAAAAATGCCGCAATTTTTCTGTTGATGCAGATATTTCTAGGAATGTCTGTATTTGTCAAGTTAGTTTGACCTGAAGTGAAATGATTAACATACCTGTATGAGTTAGGAGATGTCTTGTAAGGGAGCTAACCCAAGGGAAAGTTCGAGTGCAGTATGGACACTGCAGCTTATGGGGAGAGTCAGCATAGGAGTTGCGCTTCTTTTTAATGTTATCTCCCTTTATTTTCTGATGGTTGGGGATGTACTCACGCTCGGCTTTCTGTGCTGCCTGAATCTGCACAGAAATAGTTTATACATAAGCATTTTTGCATATAGGCTCCTACATAGACATATACCAACTTAACCTAATATCAGCTTTCATCATAGGATTCTGGAAGCTCAAGTGTCTTTCTTTTAAAATTCAAACAGCATCATTGCATGATAATTTTTTGATGACATCACTTCTTGATGATGTCATGATCATAACTTAGTGTTTCAAGTCGACACTGTGTTGAGATTTAGCATCGATTCTTTTGTGTAATTCAATTCATTTTTAGATCAAATACATCCTTGCTGTGAGTGATGTTTTGAAACATGTTCATTACCTACAACAAACATCATATTATACCGATTTTATATCAACTGTGCAATGCTTTATCCAACATATAGCAGACAAACACTTATATCCTGGAAGCCAATATCCCATGATGCATTGCAGTTTTGATTGTCCATGGTTTCTGTCATGTCAAGTCATAACTAAGAATCGATGTTACTTTTACTGATGAAAAATGTTGTGAAGGAATCTGAATATAATTTTAGTATTTAAGAATGTTACCTGTTGGCGTAGTTCACTGCTGAGCAGTTTGTTAAGATCTGGCATATCGTCGTCACCGTTGAGGCTCCTGGTCTCCGAATTGGTGTCTGCCTTGGAGCGGGGACTCAGAACCGGAGGATCCTCAGCGATCACGAGGGCCGATTCCTCTCTGTCCGTGTCAGATATTTCTGGCATGTCGAGATCCTCGTATTCTCCATCAGCAGCCTCGCTGCGGTCCTGGGAGTCCGAGTCTCCGATGTTCTCTTGTAGGTACAGCTGAAAATGGTTGGCGTTGGTGGTGTCTATGATCTTCTTGACGGAGGCCAAGTCGCAGTTAGGGTCATTACCTGTTAACAGTACAGCCAGCGTTACAGTCGGGCACATAATGGATATTGTCTATTCTCAGTAACCTTTAATCTTTCACACTCTTCTCACCAATGGGCTCTCATCAAACAGAAACTAGCGAAATTCTACAGACTTTTAAACTTTCCGATAGAGAAAACGAACATGTCTTCAGAAACCTTGAAACCTCTTCAGGCTTATTAACTGGATAATACGGGGTTGACCTTACATTTGTAGTAAAATGCACATTCGTTAGAATTTAAAATAATTCGTTTTCGTCACACAAAAGCTTCTTCTGACAATTTATACAATAATTTATTTTAATTTCAGTGTAGAAATATTGTGAACTCACAAATTAATTTATAACCATTCTTTGGTTTGGAAATCAATGAATAATAATCAAAAAGAATTTCAAATTCCATCTGAACATATTTCCCTTCCAAATAAATATAAAGCAAATTTAACATCACAGTGACATAGCATACAACCAACAATATAAAACTATTAATTGACATTTAGAGTAAGAGAGTACAATACACAAAACTCTTTGCTGTAGAATTAAAATTCAAAATAAAACTCATCTCGTTTCCTTTGGACAATTTAAAACAGAGACATAACAAAAGTAAAATTTATGAAAAAAACCTTTCATCTACACACGACAATGATGACAAAACTAAACAATCACGCATCAAAAACTGATGAAATAGCTCAAAGAAAAATAATCATAAGAGTATTTTACATACAAGAATATAAAAAGAAATAATAACAGTAAAAATGCACTCTTCTTTGTAGATGTCAGAATCTATAGCTACACAATGATGTACTTACACGGCAGGAACTAGTGCATTAAACGGTAAAGTAAACGAGTCAAATATGGTGTAAACAGCAGCTGAATCCCAAACAACTTCCAATTTCTGACGATTTATATGAAATTAGCTAAATGAGAAGAAGTTTGAGATTCTATTTTGTCCCAATATATACATGTATGATGAACTTTGCTGTTTAAAATGACACATTTTGTAGCAAAGTAAAAAATAAACACCATCAATAACGACACCCCTACGATATGACTATCGTAACCTAGATGTAACAGCGAAGTGTTGCATATTGAAAATACTGTCAGAAACATGACGGTATCATGACACAATGGTTAGGAATGTAATACATTTATCTGGGGGTCAAGTTACACAACATGAAAGCAAAACCTGAATAACTGTGGGTTGAGTTGTTAATTTTCATTTTCTTGATGTTAGTTGTCGATGAAATGTTAATAACTTGGTATTAATTTTGAATGATTGAAATTATCTAGAGAACAGAAAATAAGCCCACCTTGAAGGCTTCCAGAAGGAGAGCTCGCCTCACGTTTGATCTTATCTAAGATGGCCGACTTTTTCATTTCTGAGTTGTTGTTCAACTTTGGTGTCTGTGATCTGTTGTCTAAAGCTCCATCTCCGATTGGCGGCTTCAGAGGCAGGCGAAGGTTTCCCGAGGTCATTGACTTATCGGCTGGTGACGGGAGGATCGGGGTGAAGTAGTGTTTACCCATTATCTCAGCGATCTGTGGGTGGAGCTGCCAGATGTGACGGTCGAGGACACGTTGACTGGAGAAGCCCATCGGACAGAACTGGCACTGGTGTAGGGTGTTGTCGTACATAACCTTCAGTTTGTTATTTGACAACATCTGAAGAAAAAGATTGTAAAACATTTTTGAAGCAATTGTTACATACACTTTCACAAAGTATTTGAATTGTTCAACCCTAAGATATGTCAAAAAGGTAGATTCATAGCAAGATTAATTTGTCTGTTTTTGTATTATTATTATTAGATACGTTTTGAAGGTGCATACAGACAGAGGGGTAAAAAAACGGGAGAAAAACAGAAGTTATAAAGAATTAAACTTGCAGGCAGCACATCAGTTTTGGTTTCTTCAACGTCTCTTACGACGCAAGATACCCCCTCCCCCCGCCCCCAACTACATTTACAGTGGTGCCCTCATACCATCACGCTTATATCACTGACAATGCTCCATATAACAGGTAGCACTCACCACTGGGCTTTCACTCTTCTTCTTGATTGATAGATCCATGGGCAGTTCATCTCCAAGAGACTTCGCCATCTTTTTGTTTGGTGTTGCCCTAGGGGTGACACTAGGGGTAGAATTGGCAGACGAGGATTTCACGCTAAAATCTAGCGGCCTATCCTCCATGTCAGGGTCGATTGGTTCTGTCTTAATAACGAGTGGAGACTCGGCACGACTGCTATTCGGGGTCATGCTCAGTCTGGAGTTGGAGTGAGCGGCTGGCGGGTGAGAGGGTAATTCTTGACTAGTGTTGTCATCTGAAAGAGCGCCGTCTGAACGGTCGCTTCCTTCCCCTAGGAGTGGTTCGTGGACGACGATATATTGTTCTATATGGTTCTGTGAGATCTCGGTGTGTTGTTTCTGGACGTGACGGATACAATTGGCTTTAGTGGAAAAACCGACGTCACAGCGGGTACATTGGAACGGCTTCTGACGACAGCTGCTGTGGGATCGTAAATGGTGCTTCAGCGCACGGAAGAACTTGAAGTCAACACCGCAGTACTTGCAGACCGTGTCTGGAGAGTGGAAGGAATCCATGGCAGAATGTTCAGTTACATACTTGTTGTAACCGATCGCCATCTCTATATCTTCTTTGACTATTTTACCATGCTTCTTCCTGAAAACGAAATAGGAAACATTACATTATGTGCAAAATCAATTTGAAACAACTTAATACTTTGGAAATATCATAAATTTTAAACACAGTAAAACCTTAATATTATGCCTTTAGTTTTTCATTACAGTCAGGTCTTTACAATATGAAATATTCAAATTCAAAAGAAAAGACAGAAGGTTTCTTATAAGCATTATTCAAAAATAAAATATTCATTTAAGTGTTTTGATGCATAATATTCAGAAAACAGTGAAAGAGCTATTTGAATCGCATCTCTTAATAATTTGAATCAAGTTAATCGCTGGGTTTTGAATCTTACCTGACGTGGCGTTCACAGTTGGCCTTGGTGGTGAAGGCGAAGTCACAGACGCGGCACTGGAAGGGGCGTTCACCGTTGTGTGTGCGGAGGTGGCGGATGAGGGTGCTTTTGTCGGCGCTGGAGTAGCTACACAGATTACACTTGTAAGGAGAAAGTCCAAGGTGGGTACGGGTGTGACCTATATACAACAAAAAATAATGCATAATCACAGCTGCTCAAATTTATCTCAAATTCAGAAATTCACAAAATTCCTCACATGTTTATGTATAATATTACTGTTTCCACTGGTAAATGATTTCAGGGTGAACTGAAAAAAAGTTAAATTACAATTAACAAAAATATCTTTTAAGTACTAATAAGAATTTCCTTTATTCTTATTAGAAATTAAAACCAGCAATAACTACCCCGACTCACACAGAGTCTAACCTTTTTAATTGTGTAACCCTATCAAACTGCTGTGTTCTATTTTACACTACACCTCCTAACTATGACAATATGATACCTGGCAGTTGGTGGGATTTTACAATCATAAATTGCATTAAGCCGATGAATATATTAAATAAACCTGCACAATTGGTACCTCTATCATAAAAAAAAAATGCTGATTTACAGAATCAAAACATGATACTATTAATGTGATTTATATTCATCGTAGATATATCTGTGAAGACAATTTTGAGGTGATAGGTCTGTTTCAGACTGACTGTCTATAGACACCAGCAATCAGCCATGCAGGTCAACGAGACAAGCTGCACATGCATATTCAAATCAACATTTTCCAAAATCATGTGACATGCTTTTATTCACAATGCTAAAAAAATATCACAACAGCCTTTTTCGTATTTTTACACATTATTTTGCAATTCAAATGGGTTTTTTTCCAAATATTTTTCAAACTTCATGCAGATTCCATGTCTGATCATTTCCTTTAGTAAGCCTTTTAAAAATGGATTACATTTTGTTTAGCAAATGTTTGTTGACTAATTACATGCATGTCCAACTCTACCGTGACAAATAAAAAAGGATTAGAGGTAACAGTCAGACACAATATCAAGAAACCGATAGTAGCGCACGATTCATAATCTTCACGTTAAATGGTGTTTAAAAGCAAGAAGATCTTTCTTGGCAAAAATGAGAAAATAAAATTAAGAAAATTAAGAAAATTTATGAAAATTACCAAAAAACTTGGAAATCACCAAATAGGTAAGAGGATGCATATGGGAAACTGATGGCAAAATATACAACTTTTATTTATTTTTTTGGGGGAAAAAAGGCACAGCTTCACAACACCAAACAAAAAAGATCAACCCTTTTAGGAAGATTTAAAAACAAAAACGGTCAACATGGAATTGTAGATAAATATCCTGAGTGTATAAACAGTCTAACGATAGGACATCAACGAAAGGTAAGACATGCACAAACAACCATATATATATAATAAACAGCACCAGTGAGACACGATATTCATTGACATGATGCATTGTTGAATATTTACAGTAAAATGGGCAAGATTGACAGTGTGGCCAGCGTCAGTGATCCATACTTACTACGCGGCGTGGTGGAGGAGAGAAGAAGACATGATATACATCGTGAACAAGACTATGATGCAGTTTTGAAAGGTCAAAGGTCAACGGTCAAAGGTTAAGCCAAGAAGAGTAATACAGGTATATAATATAAAACATATAAATGAAGTAATTGATAATGAATTAGGATTTCAAAAATATCCACTAGTCTTTTTAACATCTTGTATTTATTTCTATATTTTATGATAAACACATGAATCTTACAAACTTATCAAAAAAACAATTTCAGATCATTATCTGGGCTATCGTAACATTAGCCCCTTATCTTCAGTAAGAAATAACTAAAAGTATACATACTTTTCAGTGCTCTGTAATTCGGGAAGACTAGGTCACAGTATTTGCATGGGAAAGCAATCTTGGAATCGTTGCTAGGCGACGACGCACTGCCTCCACTACTGTTGCCTTCACCAGAAGGTGGGGGTGTGGAGAGTGGACTAGGATCTCCCTGATTGGCTAAACTCATCATGTGACTTGCATTCATCATGGCGGGCATGGTAGACAGGAAGGACGGATGATTATAGGAGTTTAAGAATGCTGGCATGAATGCTGCCAGTTGAGATTGATTGAGCAGGCCGAGCTGTTCCAGGCCGGCTACATGTCCTGGCAGTCCAGCAAGGAGACCCCCGGTTGCAGATGTCTGCAAAATCTTGGCGATGTTTGCAAAGTCATTGTCATTTTCTGTAGGCTCCATTTTCTTGGACGGGTGAATCGGTGAGACAGTTGGTGAGAATATTTGTCCAAGTTTTGCGAAGTATTCATTGTTTTCTTTTCTTTCGTGAACTTTGAAGTTGTTACCAGACAATACTGGTTTGTGTTCCTTCTCCGTCACATCTAGGGACTCGACATTGGCAGTGAGGCCAAATGAAGCCAAGAAATCGTGCTTTCCGACTTCCTCGGCTTTCGTGTCCTTAGCTGGTTTACGACGGTTGGATTGCACAGGTTTCTGAACATCAGCGAAAGCTTTGTCGGACATGTGTTTTATCATGTGCAGGTGGAGCTCTTTAGTTGTCATGTAGTCACACTCGCAGAGCGGGCATTGTGATGTCTTGGCACGACTGTGGGTGTTGAGATGCAGTTTCAATGCACCCTTGCATGGAAATGCTTTGGAACATTCCTTGCAAACAAAATGGTGATAAACGCTACTTGACTTCCTTGCATTCTGCTCGCACCACGACTTTGCAATCAGAGAAAACTTTTTGATGGAGAAGTCGACAAAGCTGAGATCATAAAATCCTATAACGGCTGCCGCAGCTGCCCTGACATCCTCCTTGCATTCGTCATCTTCCTTCTCCGTCTTTCGCGCTTTAGCGTGCACCAACGTCTTGTGCAGACTCAGGCTGCGAAGTGTGTGGAAGTTCATGTGACAAAGATGACACTTGAGCGAGGAGAAGTTGGGGTGGCTCTCCCGGATGTGATTCTCCAGGCCATACTTACAAATAAAAGCCTTGTTACAGGCGGGGCAGTGGAGCTGCTCCACCTCTTTGTCCTCGCTTTCAAACACCTACAAAACCAAGACAAATGTCATCATAAAGGTCACCGATAAGGTCATCACAAAGGTCATTACAAAATTCAAATATTTTTAAATTATTTTCTTTTGATACCAAAACTTTTACAATCTTTATAATAATGTTGTTGTGTTTCCACTTTTGTATTTTTTTTTCTATTTTACAAAGGCAAAGATTCACATTTCTTTGTTTTTCTAAAATCATTCAAAAAGAAAGAAATTAAGATAGGCACTTAAAACAAACAAATATCTTTTAGCTTTCAAAGTTTTACCTCCATATCCTCAGCAGATTTATCAGCAGATGGTGATATACTTCTTGGAGTGGCCTGATGACTGGATTGGGCTATTTCACTCTCCAGTTTTACTCCCTCTTCAAATAGTTTGTTACGTTTGATTGGCGGCATTGGCCATTCCCCCGGGGATACATTGATGAAGTTGAATGATCTCTTCACGCCAGGGGCTATTGATGTCTTTGGGGTGGATGTTTTACCATACTGGTATCTCGTGTGGGAATCGGAGGTGAGCTCCTTTGCCAGCTGAGACGACCCCTGCAGGAGATCATTTCCAACTAACTGTGGGGACCTGGTCAGGCCTCCGACAGGTTTAGATGATGCTGGCTCAATGTGGATAAAACTATTCACTTTGGGCTTCCAAGACGGCGCTCGCTTCCTCTGCACTTTGCCACAGCTATGGGCGTTCGCCTCCGTCTCTTTGGTATGGATCCTCATGTGTCGGTGCATGTTGCCATTCGTTGTAAATGACATATTGCAATATTTGCACCTGAAAGGTCGCTCACCTGCAAAAGTTTAAAGTTTAATTAGTTTTAGGTGAATATTATTAAAAATCTTTTGAACAAATATCACCCTTTTACCCCTATGTAACTTCAGTAGACTTTACCATGCATTGTTATGGATGAATCCATTATGGTCTACAGTGGTGAAAGGGCTAACCAACAATCTTTGGAAAACCCAGAATTTTTCCAAGATTTTTGACAGGATTGGACAGCAAATTGATCTTGAATTCTACAAGTAAGCACATATTTTCTATGACAACTATGTGACTGAGTTTTAAACAAGTTTGGACAATAGTATCTATATGAAAGCTTGAATTCGTATTTCTATAAACCACCTTACACCTAAACCTCACTTTGTATGGGACCAGGCCAACTTTAAAACATTTCAGTAACTAACTTTCTAAATTCCAATAAACTTTTGAATTTTCTGTGAAAGGCACACAATTAAAGTTGAATGTAAAATATGTAATATGATGGCCAGGTATATTTTATGGCATATTATTATAAAATATAACATAGTTGTCATAGAAAATATGTGCTTCCAACTATGTGAATTCAAGATCAATTTGCTGTCCAATCCGGTCAAAAATCTTGGAATATATGCACTATAAGTAAAATAAAACTATTCAGAAGTACTCTTGGTTCAGCCCTAAAAAACAAAATAGTCCTAAAACTGCCTGCACTGCATAACATATTCATGCAAATCAATAAATAAAAAAAAAGGAAAACTAAAACCTGTTAGCGTTTTTTTATTTTATTTATATTACCTCTAGTCACAAGTATGTCAACAAATTAAAAATATCTCTCCTGCTTTGTCACTAAAATTATCAGATCATCTCGTATAAGATTTATTGTAAAAACATGTCAGTTTTATTGAATTCCTGTATTCAGTTCTAGATGTAATCATACATGTGCCCTGGGGGATACTTCAAATGTATTTCGTCATAATCCAGAGTGTTCAGTATATATTTTGACAAGGATGCCGTAAACACCCCCCCAGCAGCAGTCCCTGTCGTAAGGTGATGTAACAACAAACAAATTACTCCAGTCACAAGCCTCACACGGAGCTGTTCTCAACAAATCACCTGTGGGTACAGGTGAAAATTTACCTGAGTGGTCTTGGGCAGGTAATAATATAACTCAAAATCTTACACATGTTGATAAATCAAAAGTTACTCAATACAGGTAAAATACTGAAATTATATACAAAGATAAAAAAACATTTTTTACTTGACACAGGTATAAAGAATAATTTACATTACATCACATATTCAAATGACCAGTTTCACAGTTGCAAATGTCAAACTGAATTACCAATACAATATAAGTAAATATCCAAACTACAATGATTTTCACTTTCGCACAGAAATGTTTCCCTAATATTTACTTGTTTACTCGCTGAAGACATTTTTGCCCAAAACTATTTTCCGTAATACATATATATTATGTGGTACCGCTTGATAAGCTAGCATATTCACATAGCCCCCAAAGTCAGTACATAAAACAGGACTATAAAACCTCGTTAACACACCTGAGAATGCTCAGGTGAACAGTTAATTTGTGTATATACAAAACATAACAAAAACAGCTTTGATACTTTTTGTAACAGGTAGCATTGCATTATGAGATCAAACAAAACCAATTTTTGTTTAAGGATCAAACTTCCAGTAAAAGTACCATATTATTCACGCAAGATGTTTTTGGTTTTTACAAAGATATCGTTTCTTACTGTAAGAGTAGGCTAAAGGATGAGTATTTCCAAAACAGGATATCGACACATCTATGACATGAAACGTCCTAGGCTTTTGATTCAAAACTTAAACTCAAACTATTACCAAAAGTCCTATAAAAAGTTTATCCCAAGTGGAAATTGACCCGAAATTCTTCCAAGACCTGGTGGAAAATCACAGACCGTGACTTCAAGGTAAAGATGATAACCAACCACCACTATCAGGGAAACCTTCAAGTAATTTATAATAAATAAAAAAGATATTGTTCTGTATTAAATTTTCATGTTAGAAGTGTTGACTTACCTGAGTGGACCAACATGTGTCTATCGAGGGAGCTCTGAGAACTAAGACTCTTCCCACAGATCGTACATGAGTTGGCCTGAGAGGCGGAGCCGGTGTGAGTGTTGTGGCTTCGGATGTGGACGGTTAACTCGTGGGATGAAGACAGAGTCTCGTTACAGATAGGACAGACGTAGCGGCTCTCCCCAGTCTCGCTGGCTACAGGTAAGATCTGAAAGAGACAGCGTCAATGTAACTAACTCATAAATCTGTCTCTACAAAACATTTATGGCAGCAAGAAGACTTTTCATCTTCCATCGGTCACACGGAGGAAGATCTAGAAATACATGTACGCTCATGTGAATGGGTCAGACTCATAAACAGCTACAGGTCGGATAAATCATCCCGTGTAAACAGTGTTCACCACAATCACTAACCAGTCTAACGGGACAACACTACAAGCAAAGTCACTTCTCCCAGTACACATCCATATGCGCTGCCAAAAACATCAAAACCTGCTAGCTAGATCACCTGTCCATTTACAAATGAGACAAACATGACCAGGTAATGTCATTGGTACACCTGAGACATGTACCTGTACCTGCGACAGAACAGCAATGACAGGGCCTGATGAAGCCCAAGTATCTCTACAGGCTTGTCTGTGATATGAGGTTCACTGAACCACGTCCAGGAATGACCCGGGGCATCAGCGTCCTATACAGGTATTAAGAGCTGTCAATATTCTCCCGTCACATCACTGTGGCTCGGAGGACTTTTGCCACCTTACGACAGCAATAGCTATCCCAACTGCCTCTATCCCAGCAGGGTCGGATTCATCATCTTGTCAGCTGATGAACTCAGGCATAATAGCCATTAGCCAGAAATGTGTTTTCCGAGGTTTTCCTCATTATCACCATCATGTATCTATATATATCCTGCAGTTTGTCATTATAATGGCTGTCACGGAAAAAAATCTTGTTAAATTCTCGTGGAGACTGTTTTTCCAGAATTATTTGATGGTCACGCTGACCTCCCATGTATTATGATATATGGACTTCCTGTTGGTAAATTCCCATCCTGATTCATTACTCACTGATGAAGAACAACATTAGGACATGATTCAGCGGTAATCAATCAAGCATATCAAATAAGTCCACATTTGCAATATGAACTTTTTCAATTTATTTTTTTACTTTTGACAGAGCAAGATTATATCTGCATCCATATTAAATGTTTTAAGAGTCTTTGCTAATTTTTCACATATATAACACGTACATTTATGAGTAAACTACCATCAAATATTGACATACTTGGGTATGTATATAAATATCTCAAATGTAGAACCTGCCCAGTATCGATAAGGATATCATATATCAATATGATTAAGTTATATCAGCGTAATTATTCAAAACAATATATATATACCACGTACAGTTTATTATAATAATCTTCAACACAAAATCTGAACTCTAAGTTGATGAAAATTTATAGCATCGAACAAAAAAGAACGAATTGAGGCCATATAAAGTAGTTTTTTAAACCACTAGAAATCTGTCAAAACCGCTGTTGAATGTTTACCTAGAGCTAACACCTAATACCATATATATATACAATAAATAAAATTATAATCACAACAGGATATCAATATAAACACTATTAGAAATTAATATTAACAATAAATGTGATTCCAATAAGCTTTTGTTTTCCATCAAAACATTTCAAATATTCCTGAAATAAAATAATATATTCCGATGTTTACCTATTATTTGGCCATATATTTTTTTTAAAAATAAGTTTGAATAAAACATGAAATAGATTTCAATTTGATACCAGCCTCATTTTAAAGTACAAATCATATATCAATTTTAATTTAATCAGTATTAATTAAAGAAAGACTGGATATATCAACATGATTTAATTTAAAATTGCAAGAAAACAAATAATTTATGCAAATATAAACAAACATTAGGAACGAAAATAAACAATGATGGGTAGGAATTATGTCTATTGGGTTTGTTTACAGTCTAGAATTGCAGTATAAATAAAACATATAAACTGACCTCTGGTCACTGTGTATTCAACCACAGCAGACATGCACCACCACATACATAAGCCCAACACTAAGGTATCAAGATTATAAATTATGTGTGCTCAGAATTTAGGCCTACTTCAGCTAGCCTAATTAATGTGTGTCCATACAAAATCATTGTAATAAAATACTTAACACCAGAAGACCAGAGGTCTCTATTTTATATATTATACACATGCATAATGTCACTACACTTCACAAGTGTCCTGCCAGCTAACAGCAGCTGAAGCATCTCAATAGGAAATCAAACATGTCCTCTTTCCTGTCATCATTCTGCTGGGCTGTTACAGTGAAATCTGAGGCATGCATTATAGGGAAATTAGAGTGTAATTCTCTATTAACAGTTCCAAGAAATGAGTAAAGAAATGATTTTAAACATATATCTAGCTACATTGAAGACAGATATCTACACTACTTACAGCAAATCATGTGACACATTCCTCTAGTCTATCCTACATGCTGTGTGCTGGCATGTCTGCATCTCTACTGATGCCTAGCAGCCCTAGGATTTCAGCCTCAGGCATGCTGAGTGGGGGAAGGGGGGTAACTCTTACAGCATTTCATTGATCAATTAGTAACAAATTATGTTAATTACTTGCTATTAAAATGGATGAATTATTTTTAATAAGGTTGGTTTCTTTTTTTTATTATTGATTTTCTATCCTTATTTGTTTTCAAGTCATTAAATATTTTCACATGAGTTAAGCTGTGAGCAGATAAATTGAATGAAGGTGAAAATTGCAGGTCTTATGTATACAATGAACATGGGGAATGAAGCATTAAGCAAGCAGTGATATAAGCCATGACAAATGTAAATGGATGTGGTTAGCAAGTGTTAAGCAGTGCAATTTGTTAGTCCCCACCTCTGTGTTACCTAGAGGTATGCAGTATACATGTAAACCGTCACCATTCATGCTCAGCTGGATGGGCAGTTCATCACTTGCCCAAGGGTCTGATGATATGATTACAATAGGGTGTCAATATATATACACTAGATAGCCATTTCCCATTTCTCACCATGGACAATAGCAATTTGTTAAACAGTACCTTGTTCTCAGTTTGATCATCGTCCTTGGGGGCTAAATCTTCGCTACTTATAGAGTGGTTCTGAAATTAATTTTAGCCACGTTGTACTACTAGTAATGGTAAAGACTAAGAGCCACTCACACAGAAACACACTGGCACCTACTGTCTGTGTCTCTCGCCCTTAAACACACAGACCAACAGACAGAAGATGCATTAAATGAGTCACCACTGCATATATAACATGTTTTTGTTCTAATAAATGTGAACATTTTCACTCTCAAGTTGTTTATATAATAAAATCTTGGATTTTTTTTCTCTCACTTTACTAATCCTTTGTGATAAAAGATATAAATTCATGAAAATATTATCGAAAATGACAAATGTTTTCTTTATAGAATAGTCAATTTTACAAGTCAACTTCAAATTCAACATGTCTTAGATATATGCAGTAGTGGACAAGTATGAGAAGAGAAAAGCAATAATTCTTTAACTTGATGGTATAATTAAATATTTCTCAGAGATACATAAAATTAAAATTTTAATATTGTGGAATGTAGTCAAATTCATTTATCAAATTCATTTAAATTTTGCTGAAAGCATGCATAAACAAGAACCTAATATTATTGAAAGCATAATAATTTCATAATGGGAAGACATCATGATCAGTATTTTGAAAACACATTTTTAAAAAGAATACTTTAATTTTCCTTTAAAAACAGATGTCAGAATAAATACATACATATATTTATCTATAAAATAAGTCGGTTACAAACTTAACAGTAGAAAAGAACACCAGAATTCTGAACTTATTGATGATAAATCTAGTCAATTGTGAAGAAAATATAAACCATCAAGTTTTATATTAAAATACAGTTGAGGACAGAGGTTGGTTACCACAGAAATAAGAATTACAAGGGAAAGGAAAGATTTTCTTTTCACATCAATTCACACAGAGTAATGCTACAGTGATTTTAGAATACAGGTGCCATATGGAAACAATTCCGGGGGAAATCACACCAATTGTTTAGTAGTTTAACAGATGGAGAGACCAAATCACAACAGGACGGACACCCAACGTTTCCTGATTTGGTCTCAATATTTCAAGGCCAGTACTAAGACTTAAATGTGACTTACCCTGACTCCTCGACGGTGAGTCTTGGAGGAAGATATACTAGAACTGAAACCTCCGGGGCTGAGCTGATCCGAGGAGGAGATGGACGGAGTTCTGGACGTAGATAGATTAGAATCGTCGTTGACGAGGGGGAGATGGTCGTCTATCGACTGGTGATGGAGGTCTGTGATAGGCTGACTAGAGGGTGCGTCTTCCTGACCCGCAACAGAAACAACGACCGGGGACAATTCGGCGCTCAGGTGAGGTCCTAGATCGAGCTGAGCTTGTGTTTCTGCGAGATGGAGAGCAGACGTTGATCTAGCCTGGTCTGTGGTATCTTTCTCATCATCGTCATCTAACGGCTGCCTGGAGGTATCGACGACTAAGGGACCGTATTCATCAAAGTCATCGGGGTCCTGAAACAGATATGATGGAGTACTGTAATCATTGCTTTATGATTGAGGCAGGGAGTTATAGCCTGTTTCATATTTTACCTATTGTCATCAGATGCATAACAGCACTTACACAAGATGAATCTGCCTTTGACAGACGATATTCTCCCGACTACCGTTAACGTGCAGGATAGTCTAGCCTCCGGCCAAATACCTACACAATGTCTTGTTATATCTATACAAATATGCACATAATGACAGCTTCAGGCTCTGGTCGGGAGAAAGCCTCGTCATCTGGATCCACAGGTACATACATACAGGTAAATCTCATGTAAATCTCAGGTAAATATATAACTCACAGGTAACGGTAAAGACCAATGTATATACATATATATGCACCGTGTGTTACAGGTGAGCTAGCTTGATGCACCATCTCAGCAACATCTACACAGCATTTGCATATTGTAATTTACATTTTAAGTCTTCACAGTCAAAAGCAGGGTTCTTTTCTTCTAAGATTTGTTTCACAATGCGTGAAACCTGCTTCATATATTGCCAAACAACTTTTAATGCAAAACTCAGGTGATTTATACCAGTGAGATATTGAAGTATATCTTATTTTTCTTATTCCTTTTTTTGTGAACATTTAAGGCTATAGAGTACCTTACTTAGACATGTACCTCCCAAACAAGAGAGTTCCAAACCAACACGCCTGTGAAATATTTTTTGTCAATGGTCATTTATGCTTGGAATCGGTAAATATTAATAACTTTATTTTTCTTAATTTTTTAATGAATAATTAAACTACTACATAAAAGCATATCTCCTCCAAATCTTAAATTTAGGTTCGTCATTATGATAAATTCAGTTTTGTTTTCTTAGTGAAAAATCCATACAAAACATCAAGTTGTTTACATATAGTGAAAGCTCCAGTCCTGATCAATTTAGCTTCATGAATCATTTACCTATTTTTTTCATAATGAGGAACATGGGATATTTCTGTATATTTTACTCTATGACATTAAAGTTTTTCATTCATACAAATATAATTTAAGTTTTAAAATTGAATATTTTGAAAATTTTGTACTTTGTGTTAATTTGTCCTTAAGCTAACCAAGCTTCCCGACGGCCCCTCCGAGCCTGGACACTGTTGTTCAAATGCCTAGTCAGCTTAACCAAAGTTAACGTACAATTTTAACGAACTCCTTGCATAATCTGGACAATTATCTAAAGACAAATAAGAATCACCTGCATAAATATGTAAATTTCTAGGTATTTCTCAAAAGTTATTTTGTTATAAAATTCGCATAAATTAGTCATCATGCTCATAATATGTTAAAAACTGAGCCCCGAATAGAACAAATTAAGGACAGCTAATTATCTGGAATATCTATACACCCGTGACTTATACACCGATTTGCCATCAGTGGCCACAGCCTGTGGTTTCCCATGGCGATGAACACAGACTGTTTGTTCATTTGATAAAAAACACTCCCATCAAATAATTATCTCATTTCCTTGCACCATGAAATTGATGACAAACAGTTAAGGAGTTAAGTGATCAGTGATATTTGTATAGAGATCTCCATCTCGGCTACCTGTGATGGTTGTTTTTGTACCAGTATTCATAACAGTGTGCGGTAATCTGTGTGGTGCTCGCGCGTATAATACACGCCTTTCAAACCGTCAGTTCATTTGTGATATTCAATAGCTGAATATAGAACTAACTTCTGTTCTGGATTTTGTATTTATCCTTGGCAAATTACTCTGTGAGGACTTGAGTGCGGACCTTGGGTTTGTAATTAGTCGTTTGGTATCCCACTGTTGATATAGCTGATGTCGGTCAGGTATATACGCATAAGTAGCGTGTGGATGTAAAAAACTGTCGCTACTGAAAGTCATCTGGGCCTAAATTTGTTTTGAACTATTTACTTAAGAACGGCTAACTCACCATCATTATATATAACAAGACAATCATCTCAAGGATCCAGGAGTTTTTAATGAGGGACACCACGATCGTACAGGTGTCACATATTCATTGCTGCACTAGCTCAATTTCTTAAATGACAGATCTCCGATCGGAATCCCAACATAAGAACTCCCAATTACTGCTGCACGGAAGGACTCAATATCTTATCAAGATCTCCCATTTGATAACAAGATTTAACATTTTAGATGTACAATAAAGTATCTATCCTGAGTTATCCCTGTCTACATTTTTGGCGTTCAAATTTGGTCCTATTTCCCAAAGAGATGGACAATTTTTAGCTCAATCTAATCGAGAAATACATCATCAATGTTAATTTTGCCTCTAACTTTAGAACACAATTTCATTTTCCAATTTTCCTTAAGGTTGATGCTTTATAACAAAATGAACTTTCTGAAAGTCCCGTATGTGATTTTCTTTAATAACTTAAAAATGCATGAACATTGGTTTCTATAAAATATTTCAATTTTTAAGTTTTGAGCATGGTGGTTAATTAATTCATCTCAAAACTAGAGCTTGTTTTTCAAATCCTGTTGTAAATATTGGTATGATAGTACAATCTAGCCCCAGAATGTACCTGTATGGGCACATCTCAATAAAGTACGGATCTCCGAAATCTTCTTCATGCATCATGTAATAGGTTAAGAGTATTACACCTCCTAAACTAAGATAAACAGGACCTGATCACGTGTCTATTAAATGATGGGCCCTCAGTGATCACTTATTACCTGAACTTTGGTATTGGGGATGGTTTTGTTTCTGTGCATTGAGCGTTATCGTCCATACCAATCTTTGGCAAAGATTCGGAAGTAATCGAGGCTACGAACAGGTATTATTTGTTTCTGCCGTGTCAATAAACAGGCGGTCACATTAGTTGTGTGGGATTTAATTAAAGTTCAAATTCATGTTTATCTTGTGATGGACGAGACAGTTGAATTTTTATGAAGGTATAACAGGCTAGATTTTGGCTTGTCTCAGCAATCTTATATGGATCAGTGGATTTAAATAATATGAAGAATTCCGTACGAAATAAGACAGAATGGATTTTAAACGCGTCATTGTTCTGAGAATCTCATAGAGTTCATGAGAATCTTTCAGGCATACCAGCATCAAAGAGAACATTTAATGAATGAAGGCTTTGGATCTTGATTAAAATTTTAAATCAACATAACTTTATTTGAAATTTTACTGAAACTTAATTTTTGTATCTAAAACAGAATCTGGTAATCTCAATGTATAAATACACTGGGAAAAAAAGATATCTGAAAACTTTAAATTATTAGTGCACTTAATATATACATTTGTGCACATACATTTTCTTCTGCTAATTCCATTGTGCATTCGTGATTTTAACGATATTTATGGGAGTTTTTTGGTATCAAATAGAATTGTATTTGTTCTGAAGGCATCATATCTTTGTCTGATGATGAGATGGCAAATATAAATGTTTTACCGAGTCCTGCTGCGTTTCCCCGTTAAGCTGTATGTGGTCGGCAACGGCCACCATTTTGTAGGATATGTTTGACAGGCTTTCATCTTGTTCTGCCTCGATATTGTCATCCAGAGCTGAAAAATACAAAAATAATTCTACATTAGGGTAGGTCTGTAGGTAAAGATTTCTTTCTTAGAATTTAAGTAAATTAAATAAATATTTGATAACAATATAACCCATCCAAATCTAATGTCAACAACGATGTTTAAATTTGGGATTTAAGACAATTTCCTGGTTATTACCGATAAAAAGTTGAGGAAATTTTGATAGTTTTTAAAAATAAAAAGTAAAGTAATAGTTCAGCCTGTAAGAATACACACAAGCATTTAATTTTATCCCAAGTCAGGTTTGTAAGCCAAGACCAGTACATAACTCAAAACTGCTAATCGAAATGCACAGATACAGCTATTTTGCCATCGAGGTACAAATATTGACTTAGACATCAATCAGCTCAAAAGTGCAGAATTCACCTTTGATAAAGATGAAAATTTTAAATATTTCAACATTGGAGCATCGCGCAATTAACTTTCCAATAATAAAAGCGTTCTGCTAGTGTATGTAGCTTTGTCTGAACGGGGCAATGGCAGTACAGTGTGCAAGCAATCCGAGTTAGAAGGAATCGTTTGATCTGTACAATCCTGCTAGGATTGAAACTGTTTAATGCCAGGACTACTGATCTTCAGTCCTTACAGCAACACGTCAGTAAAGCAACTCTCCATACCAGCAATTACACCAAAGCACAAGACAAATATTTATCAGTGAGGTTATATCCCACACCCTACATCGACTCCCGCTATCGTTATAACCAAAGTCCATTTTCATTCCATTGTGAAAAGTGTGTATATGCATAAAAGCATGTTTCAATGTTTGAAGAGGAGAAAATGTTAGAAATTAATATTGAAAGCTTTACTGGATATAGGACCTGTCTCTGCCCAGGTATGGGTGAAATACGTGTACACCCGCCGCCGCCGCCGCCTCGAGCCTGCGGTCCATACCGACACAGGCACATTCAGGGTACAACGGAATGTCGTCCATGTGTGTTGAAGGCATTGCCATGGCAACCTGTCACAGCACGTGGCGGTGGGAGGCGTGCAATCGTCACCACGAATGCCAAATATTATCAGCAAGAAGATGAAGTAGCTGGTTTACATTTTTCTGTCTACAAACACTAAATATTTGTAATGATAATACTTGAGGTGTATTTATATGTCCATACCTGTCATAACGCACTATATGTAAAATCTATACGGAGGTGTCAGCGAAGGCCATCTGACCGCTCAGGTACAACCCTGCCAGGTTTCCCTGATGACATATTTATTTCATTTCATTAAATGTGTTAAGGATGTATGTCTTTATTCCTAAACTTTGGCACAGATCAGGGGTATAATATGTAAGGTAGCATATATCCTTAACTCAAACACAAAACACAGGTAAAATGTATAAGGTAGTATATAACCTTCACTCAAACGCAAATCACAGGTATGTAAGGCAGCTTATATCCTTAACTCTTACACAAAATAAACGTATAATGTATAAGGTAGCATACATCCTTAAGGAGATACCTTTCAGTGACTTGTATCTTTTACTAAAGAGTTCCACTGTCTAAGAAACCTGTCAAAATCTTTCACAAAAGCTGATTTGGACTTGTTAATTGATGGTACACTAAAAAGTAGGGATTTCAGATAATTTTTACCTGTTAACTGTATTGTCTAAATTTAAAATAGTGTTCCGTTCATTATATAGTTTTGAAACCACCAGTAAACGATTTACAAAGATTTTTCATTTTTTTTTTTTAAATAACTGTCCATTTCTAGCTTCACCTGTACATCAGATAGATTGCTGGAGCTGACAACAGGTGTATATGCTGTGGATGAAGATTACTAGTTCAGAGATATGGTCCCTATTGTCCTAATATAGCCCCAATCTATGTGAGTTATCACTGGATCAGCCCTATAACCAAACGCAGCAATCAGCTTTTATTACTTTATGATAGATGAAGCAGTTTGTGGGCCATCCCTTACAGATCGCCATGGATCCCTAGGTACTCCTGCTTTGTCCTCTAAACAGCCCTCTGCATTTTCGGGTAATTGATAAAGGGACAATAAAATTGGCTGTAACAATACTGACATTCCGGCAGTCTTACAGACCCATACGATTACTTGTTGGTGTCATGTGCCAGGGGCAACCCGGTATATACCTGTAGGTGTCATACAAATTGATCTCGTTAAATCTGACACAGGTAGGTATTGACGACAGGTGAAAGGTGATGGAACCCGTTATTTTCTGCAACATGATCACACGAAGTAAAATTGTCTATGATAGTATACAACCTGATCACACGAAGTAAAATTGTCTATGATAGTATACAGCATGATCACACGAAGTAAAATTGTCTATGATAGTATACAAGCAGTTTACCTAAATATTTTCTTTACAATAAAATTATCTTTTATTTATCATACTCATAACATGTTACATTATTCTATCTACCTTAAGTACTTCTGTTCACATTAAAAAAAAATAACTTTTGAGAAATTAGGAAATTAAAAGAAATATATACATGTATTACAACATCTGATTTTAATTTGTTTTGAAGTGAATTCAATAACAAATAAACATAGTTTAGAATATTTTATTTTTAAATTTTTTGTTTTTGTTTCAAGAGATTAAGGTAAGGAAGGCCTGAATATCCATCAGGATTTTTTTTAATAGGGAGGTGGTCAGCTTGTATGCAACAAACTTATTAATTAAGTATATTTTAAAGATATTTTAACTTATGAATTCAAAAGTAATCAGAATCGGTGTATTGGGTAATGTTATCATAATAGGTATTTAAATAACACGATAAACAAGTATCGTGTGCCCATTTCTTTGCAGGTTTTTACTGAATTACTACATTTTTTGTAACCTTGACGATGATTCATCGTGCTATTCAAAAAAATGTTAAATGATGAATTCTTCCATAATGACTGATGTTAAAAGTCGATGCGTAAGATGTACAGGGGTGTACATGGGTATCAATGACGACCACATATTTTCCAATGAAAAGAGGCGGAAAAATTGAGTGATGCTCTCAAAAGATGGCGAAGCAGATTGAAGGCCACATTGCATGACAAGGGAGAATACAGCCGGTGCAAGAACAATCGAACAATGAACCCAACGAGGAACGTCGGCGATAACCCCGGGACACTATCTGGGCGAGAATCTGTACTGCGTGACTTGACCGTTAGTGACTTCGGGATGATGAGAACGATGCCAGATGATTTCCATAGATAGCTGTGTAATCTCTTGTGTAGTACGAACACACAACCTTCCTGTGCTGGCATTTACAGATACAGGTGTCAAAACTCTACCTGGGTGTACCTGTGTGGAACCAATACAGGTGTGATTAGACCTTGTGTGACAGCTGTAGCCATTTATAATTATCTCTCCAACCCCAAAATCTCACGTTATCTCCCCAGTTGCTCTAGCAGCTCCACTTGTTTTCGTTGAAATATTTCAAAACTTTTCAACAGATAGTTTCCGTTTTAATTTATCTATTTAACCTAACCTCCTCCCCTCCAAGCCTATTCTCAGTCTATCTCCTTCCTCCTGTAAACTGGCCCAGTCTTTCTTTCCTTCCCATCATTAATCTCTCTCTAGCCCTCCTCCCCTCCAGTCCCAAATTTTTCTGTTAAGGTCATTCTTTCCCTTTCCCCATCTTTCAGATTGTACCATTCCCACACTCTCTCACACTCTAGTTCCTAGCTCCAATGGGCAAATTAAGGAACAGTTTAAGCTTGAACCACTTAATGTATTTGTCCTGTTTGCCTCCTTTTTACCCCGATGGTGCCCACACCTTTCCTAGAGTACCTTAAACCTTTCATGCCCAGGTGTATGTCAATTGTTCCCGGCACAGGTATTCACATCTTCATCAGTAACAGGTAGTCTACACAGGTATTCTCCTAATTCACGTTTAACGACCACATAGCATCTTTTACCTGTACACAGGTATGGGATGGTGGTGAGTGGTACAGGTAATGTTTGTCTATTTATAGACAGGTGATGTAGCATCACCATCGCCCGACATCTGTTCTAGGATGGTAACGACATGCGTATGAAGTCGTACCACAAAGCCACATATTATATGCCACTTACAGTTTCTCTACAAGGTCGAAGTTCACATCTATATATTTTTTCATATAAAACACTTCTATCATTTTACCTCATCAGACAAGAGAGTTCCCCAGTTTCTTTTGTCACTTGACGTTATATACAAGTGGTACAACCAGTACCGTCAAAGAGAGGCAGCCATTGTGGAGGAAGACGATAAATCAGGTTTGTCTGTTATGCTGTCAGATGCCGTTCTCTGACATCAATTATAAATTAAGTTATCCCTAATAAAACTTTAAAAAAAATTACTCTCCTTTATCACTTCCATCTTCGATTGTAAACTTGTTTAACAATGAACAGTATCTCGTCTCTTTGGCGACTCGTACTCAAGGCCGAGCTTTTACAACTGTCAAAATGGAGTATTCTTATCTACCCTGTGATCGGCATCCTATGTCATCACATTGAAAACCACTTGAAAATACTTCAATTTCTACCCCATACAAAGCGGGAGAGTAGGCAGGGCCCATATCACTACAGTGAACAGAACACCGAGCTCATGGTCTTCTACAACCCATCGATGTGTCAACAGCCATTATCTTAATTCATGTAAAGAAATATGGTGAAATAAAGAGCCTGATTCGGGTATGAACACCAGCACATGGAGCTGTTGTCCGTCTTCCTTTCATGCAGCTATCCACCTACATTTGAAGAAAAACTTTGGTGTTAAATTTCATACAGAACAATATTGGGCGATTCATTTTACTTAAGGTAAATTGTCCCCGTGTTGAAATACATCATATCACAATAGTCCATTATGGATGGGCACCATGATATATGGTTACAGCCTCGGGAACGTACCCAGGTTACTAAACCACAACAATCTCCTCCGCATCTCGAAAGCTGATCAGTGAACCCACTCCATCCGATGAGGATGTTTTACAGACCAATGAACAACAACAGAGTACGGAAATTAGCTGTAATT